GACCCACTTAGATGTGAGGAGCTCGAAAGGATAGTCAGGAAACAAGACTTCTATTTTTCTATACAAAATCTTTCAAATGAGCTTGATTTTGTATGAAATTATACTACCTGATAAAAAATAAGCTTGTTTGATAGTTTTGAATACCATTGTGCTGGTACAAAGAACAATTTTAGTGCAAAACATTAGGAAATTGACCTATGTTATCCCCTTTTGAACCTCAGGTCATTCATAACAATAAGAGCGTCCAGAAAGGGTAGGCTATTTGAATGGGCGTAACTTCTCGTAATGTCTTATCAGCTTGTGAGAGGGGGTTATTCATGTGTTTGTAACACTTTATAAATAGAAAGCTATGAAAGATAGAGCGTTATTTTCATCATCGATTAATACACTCCCACGGTATTCATTGTGAAAACACATATTTCCTGGCGTGCGCTGTGCACCAACAGTACACACTGAGTGACCCCGGTGGCCTGCACCATGCTGCTTCTGCCACTTCCTCTGAAGACACCCAGTTCTTCAAGTCGTAAGATTGGCTCATAGTCATGCTCAACCTCATCATCTTCAAGTGTGATGGCAAAGGCCTTCACGACATCTTTTTTGTCCATTTTAATGTCAGTATTGACAGGTGAATTGCTCACCAGTTTGTCTGCTTGTTCATTTCCCACCACACCCGTATGGCTTGGAGTTTATCCATGTTATTTTTCTCAGTCTGCTTTCTTCTATACTTTGCAGACACTCTTTTCTCAGCATCCACTTATTGACTATCTGAAATATGTTTTGAGAGTCAGTGACAATAACAGCATGTCTGGTAGAATGCCGGCTCTCTTTTAGCCATTCAAATGCTTTTGTTACTATCTCTACCTCCATTTTTGTGCTTAAAGTCGGCATGCACCTGATGATTTTTTTTTTTTATGCGGCCATCTTTATGTACAACAAAGCCCCAACTACTTTTCACCCCACGTTTCACAGAACCATCAGTGTATATTACTGGACCCAAGAGCCTGGAGTATTCCTTGACAATCTGTCTTACTTACGACTCTGCTGTTCCTGCCACCTCCAGTACATATCCCTTCTTTATACCAATGATGACTCTTGTCAAAACATGTGCAGTGCAGCCTCTTGTGCAACTTGAATCCACTCACTTCCATCATTTATATCATCTAACTCACACACTTCTTTATAGAATCTTCTGCCTGTGCCATCCAAGATTGACCTCTCTTTATTCAAGTCCCTCTGTCCTGCTTGATCACTGGGTGAAGTGGGTGGCCTTCCATTTCCATAACTTTCAGGTGCATCTTAGCCTGAGCTAATTTGTGTCTTACTCGTATACTGGAGAGTCCAAGTATGTGTCTTAGACAAACAATTGGAGTGTCTCTGGCGCCACCAAGGACAGTTTTTGAACTGCATTTTGAACCCTCTGCTATTTTTCTATTTGAGTTTTTGATAGAGCGAGCAAGCCCAGTCCATAATCAATCACAGACAGTACCTCAAGCTGCATCATAATGAACAGGATTCTCTGTGGCATCAACGCATTTGCCCCCACAGTTTACCAGTACCATAACTGCTTTCCTTATACTTCTCTCAACACCTCCCCCCCCCCACACTTTACTTAAACTCAGCTGAGTAGTTAATTTGTCAGTATAATGCCATATAATACATAGTATGCAGATCCAGCGTCACTGTGGGGTTGGTGCTAGGTCTTATATGAACTGGATACTGTGGGCCATCATTGTCATGGTGCGTGAAGGTAGGGGGGAAATACATTACTTTTACCAGTTACCATTGTGTGTGTAGTATATGTGTGCTCTCTATGTAATTTTATTTTATGTTTGGAGAAGCTAGTGAAGGTAAACAATTTATTAGTGTTTTTTGCTTTGAGGATGCTGTATTTGCTGTTCTGAAAGTGGCATTGATCATATAATAGACTAACTGCTTTTGTGTTTAACAGGTGTCCAAGTCAGCTATCGTGTTTGTCAACGAAGCGAACATTGAACGCTACTTTGATATCCCAGGCTGTCAAGGGCTGTTTAAAGCTGTTTCCTCTCTGGAGAATGCCGTCTGCGTCTTCCCCATGGATACCAACCCCAATCTGTGCAAGAAAATTGCTGTTACTTTTAACAATGAGTTCAGTAACCCGAGAGAGAAAGCTGACAAGGACATTCTTTGATTCCTTCGCATTTACAAATAATGTTTTAGCCATATTTTTTTCTCGTCTTCTGCTTTTTTTTTTTTTTTAATTAAGAGTTTTAGTTTCTCTATAACTTATATTCCTGGACCTGCCTGATCTTAGAGTAACAACATGTGCTCTGAAGACAGGAGAGCAAATGTGCCAATGTTTCTTTACTTTTAACTGCACTATCTTGATTCATTCCTTCCATCCGTCAGTCACGTGTTACTTGTAACATTACACCTGTGCTTTCCTTGTAGCCTGAACTTTGGTAAAAGGAATGAGCAGTTTTGAATAACACAAAGAAGATCTGATCAATACTCACAATTTTATTCTGTAGTTGTTGGGTTTTTTTTCGACATTAGGAAGTTGAAAACAGTTAGGAAAAGCTGTTTTGACTTTTTTGTGCTGGCAGAATGAATAATGTGTGCTTGAATGTTTAGGATAAGTCATACTCCCTTGAATTTTCCTGTATTATTGAGATACATATTATATATGCTCGATTTTAGTAATTACAATACTAACTATTTGCTATTTTTAAAATCTATCAAAGTAAGACTCGTCATCCACTCTGGAATTTTCCACAAAATTTACAGTTAAGTCAGTGTCATCTCTAACCTGACATGACGCGTTGACTTTTTATAAATCCCTCAAAGTTCATAACTGAAAACAAAAATATCAGCACCTTTGAGTACTGATAATGTGATTTATTTCCATCGTGCAGACGAGCATGATAGAGAAATTAATAAGAAAATGTAAAGATTCACTGAATATCTACAAAATGATAAACATCGTTGATGACAAGATATGAACTGTAAGCTTGTTGTTAAATCATACCAAATGTCGAAGACTTTAGCCTCAAGCAGCTCTTGTTTTTGAGAATGTAGAAAAGCTTGCACTGCATGTGCTTTGTTCTAGCTCGGGTTTGGTTCTCATAGGGATGTAGAATTCAACAGAGAAGTTTTGTCAGTTATCAGGCTATGATCAACTATAACAAAATTTGTACCTCTTTTCCTCAAGTTTTAGATGCTTGGGAAGTGCAAAGCCAGAATGAAAAAGGAAATGACTGTATTGAGGTTTTCTAGGTATTCAATGCGATCTTGTTGAAAAAACCGTGGAGAAGATGATTACTCTCAGTGTTTGGATTTTTCTTAGGAGATGAGAAACAACTTTGCTGTAAATGGGAAATTTTTTCTTTGGGTACTGAGAAGGACAAAAGGTGGGGTGACATACAACTTAAAAGTACATAGGCCTACCTTCATTGTACAAGTACCAAGTTTATGTCTCTGTGGGTTCCTGGATTTGATTTCATTGCTGAGAAAATTCAAAGCAGTACCTTATTTTTATGTGTGTATTTGTATATAACTTACCCTTGATGTCCTTTTCTTTTTCTTTGGAAGGATTTCTATTCCTCATCAGTATTTCAAGTCTTACGAACGGCTGACACTGAATTGTGATACTCATTTTTTCTAAACTCAAATTTTAGTTTTATATTTTTTCCCTATTTTTAAAAAGAAAAGAGTTATATTTATGGGACATCAGAATTCTGATGTATATATTCACTTTGTATGAAAATATGACTGTGTGTTTGACATCTGTAAAACTCAATGACGGGTTGTCTGTTTTCCTGTGCATTGCTTTTTTAAATCAATCACAGCTTTTACTATTCTGGTATGTTAGTCTTCAAGAACAAGATTGTTGAATAGCGACAGTTCCTTCTCTGGAGAATCTAGGACAGCTCGGTTTTAAAAAGTTTTTTTTAGTTACACACCATACTGAAAATTGCATTTAGCTAGCGAAGGCACACTTTAAACTTGATAAAGATGTATAGGAAGAAAGAAATTGCTCGTTAATAAAAAGACCCCTATCTGGATTTACCATCTTTGTGATCCTATACTTTATGCACTGTGGTATCAAACTGAAGGACACAAGGGAGAACTGGAACTGGAAAATTGAAGTATAGTGAAATTTGCTTCCAAACATATCATGGGTACACCAGGAAGATATTATTATCAATTTGGGGAGATTGATACTAAAATTACTCTCCCCCCTCTCTCTCTCCCCCCACAAAAAATATCCCCAAATAACTAATGTTGATAGATGTTGCTATTATTATATAATATCCTTTAAAAAATAAACTGCATGGTGGGAGCAGTGGCCATCTTGGAAGTATGAGCAAAACTATTGAGAATTTTCTAATTATTTCAAGAGTGTTGTGACTAGTTTAGTTTTTCCACTTGTAATGCATTATGTTAATCAGTTTATAAAGAGCTGATATTATTGTTTTTTAGTTCTTCCGGAGCTGCTTCAATGATGTTAATGTCTGATTGAAGGCAAAAATTATTATTTTTCTTCCAGTCATTTTCAGCAGACAATTTTGTTTATATTATTATTTTTTTTCTGGTTTTTTTTTTGGGGGGGGGATATTATTGTAAATACCAGCGGTCTAACTTGCCTGCTGTTTTTAATAACATTTAAATACAAACAAGATATTTTAAAATTGTAATGTAGACGAATGAAAATATATTATTCTATTGAATACATCATAGTTTAAACTAGTCATGTTTATGATATGTGCATTTAATCTGTGCCAAATTTGATTAAAGCCTTGAAATAAGTTTATAAATTAACACATAGTTTATAAATGAAGCTTCAGTGCCCCATAAAAGGAAACCAGTCCTTTGAATCATGAAACTGACTTGTAAGCTCCCCTCACAGATATTGTGCTATCAGTTTTCACCATCTGCTTTGGTATGGGCAGGGGGCTCTCAAAAAAATCATCATTATGTTTGGTCATAATCAGTTTTATATGAAGTGTATCTGCCTGATTCGTGCCCCTCAGGGAAAGTACAATGACTGTCTGATATGTTCAGTCTGCATTAATATTTCATAAGGACCTAGTGACCATTCAGATTATTTTCACCCCCACCGTTTCTTTTTTTTGGTTTCTTCCAAATTTACATTTCTTTCATCTTTTTGTTGTCCATCTCCCACGATCATTAAAATTTTCATTCTTACGTTGTTTCACTTTTATTTTATTTTGAGAGATATAGTCAACAACTGATTTCTTACTCCGAAAAGTTCTCACAGCTACAACATATGTGTCATGATGCGGTGGAATCAGGTGGGCATGTAGAGTTATTGGTATCATCTGAAAGCTGATTTATTTGCCTTGCTCCCTATGAAATATATCCATTTATATAGAATTCAAGATATTTGCGACTGAAGGAAGTGAGGTCTCCTGGTTTCAGTGGTGAAATTAGCGAGAAAATGGCCGCCAAAGTTTGGTAACTCCAATAGCTAAAGAGTCTTTGAAAACTGAAAAAATGACATATTTTGTGCCTTTAATCAATATTTTTCCAGTAAAATTCAACATGGAAATGTGTTTTTATATGAACCTAAATAAGGTTAAGCCGAAAAAATAAAATTCGGTAAAAATGTCCAATCTGGCGGAAAAATGCCTGTTTCTCCGAATTCGTTATTTTGCCAAGTGCCTGATTTCACCACGCTTCTTCACATATTTACTTTTTTTATTTCAAGTTCTTTTCCTAGTTCCTCGGCTTATAAGTTCATGTTTTGTTTTTTTAAATTCTCCAATGAGGTTTTGTCAACATTACCTTTTACCTTTCTGTGGTGTTCTCTATTTATAGCTTTATTCTGTGTTTAAGTTTGTTTTTTATCCATCCAATCAAAAAATAGTTCAACTCTTTGAATCAATACGTCTTTTGGGGTTTTTTGGGGCATTTTTTTTGTCCTTCCAGTTTGACAGATTTGCCATAATCATACAGCAATTAACCTTTTTTTGAGGCTTCTATTTTCAGTTTACTTCCATTTGTTTTGACGAGATTCTTATGTTTACTTTCCAGTTTTTACCAATTTTTTTTTACTCTGTTTAATTTTGAAAAGTGTTCAGTGGTCCTTAAAATTAGTTATAGCACATTTGTGCAAGAACTTATTCTAGTCACGTGTTATATAGACTTCGACTGGTATTGTGATTTCATGGCAGGGGTGCTTGTTCAAGTTGATTTGACATATATATATATTTTACAATTTCCATCATAAAAGGTTTGTTTTACACATGAAAGGGGTATTCTTTTAAAAAAAAAAAAATTCTAGTCAAATTTCCCTTATTGCCCATAGTTAACTTCATGGAAGATTTTTTTAATGTTCTTGAAAATGAAAAGAGTGAAGTATTCCAGCATTCTTGCCACAGAGTCAATGAAATTTGGGGACAAAATTCATTGCGAAATATTACTTTCCCATATCTGCTGTATGGTTATCTAGATGGGTCACAAGGGTGTGTCAAGTGGCCTGCTCTATTTGTCACTCTAAGAGTTGATGGATGGAGCTGCTGAAGGTGTTAAATGAATTTGACCCATTCAGAAACAAAATGACGGTATAGCAATGTGTACCAAGCCTTCTTTTCAATCATCAGTTCAGAAATAATCAAGACGGTGGATACTCTCTGCTAGTTGCTAGAAAGAAGATTGGAGCATCAATTGGTCTAGAAGAAACTGATCTTTATTGATCCCTGTAAAAATAGTCAATCAAAAACCATTTCAGTCTATTTGAAGATAACAAAGAATACAAAAGTATGATTTCTCATCTGATAAACTTTTTCATACTGATGAAAGTTGGACTGAGGGCTCAGGATAGACTAGCGTATGTCGTGTGCTGTTGGCAATTTGAGCAAGTGTGGTCTGTTGGTGTGAAACTTGCCAACCTTGAATTGTTGATCGTTGCTAAATCTAGTCATATAAGATTAAGGATGAAGAGCATGTTGTGTTGAATATGCAGTATTGAGCACTTTTGTTGTCAGGTACTTTATTCCTCCATTTTATCATTCCATGCATGAATCTCAAACTTCCTTGCTCATTTATCACATACCTTGGACATAATAATCATGCCCAAATTTTATATTTTTTCAGTGTTGTGATTTTACATTTTATTAATAAATATTGCCATTCGATATTTTATTGTTAGAATTTTATAGTCACAATTACTCACCTGCACTGACTCCTTTTAACTGTTTTATGTTGTTCCAACTTTCATTGACGTTTCTTGCATACATTGAAGTCCACTTAAGGTAAACTGTCTAAAATAAACAGCACCAAGACATGAATGGCTGGCGTCTATTAATAAATTATTGATGGTCTTTAGGTAAACTTGCCATGTGAAATTTGTTATCTTCATGGTGTGAATAATATTATTACGCTATATATCTTGGCTTGATGCAGTCCTGTTAACGATAAATATCTTGCATTTCTCGCCCACTTATGAAGCCATTCGAATCCATAATGTCAGTTACTGTAGTCTTGTGTAGTCAAGAAGTGGGAGAGTGACCGAATGGCTTTAACAATGTAGCCTCTTGCAGTTCCTTTTTGACACGAGAAAGGATACAGGCAATCATTAAGTGTAAACTTTTCTTCCGCTAAAGAATTTAATGGTTTCCTTAAGTGTGGTTACAATTGACGTCTTTATGATAAAAACACAAAAGGAACGATCCCCTCTAAGTTTATTGTAAGTGGACTTGGCTGTATCATGTGTGCCATAGAAGTGGGTTTTGTGTCATTCTTGAATTGATGAAGCATAATAAACGCCTTGATTTTGCCAGAGTGAAAATGGAAAGAAACAAATGCAACCCCATCTAATTGATGAGAAGTAGTGACATCCATAGATATAACTGTAATCTCATGATAATGAAGAAGATGCTCTGGTTTTTTCTCTTTTATTCCCCACTGTTTAGAAAAGGGTTTAGGCTTGCACTGTGAAAAAAATGCATGTCTATGTTCTTGTTGCCAGTGACAGGGAACAAACTTCAAAATTTTTGGTTCTTAGAAAGGACAGAGAAAGGTTGTGCATGTGGGTATATGGGGGTGGAGGGGGGGGGAGAAAGGAAAGAGAGAGAAAGAGAGTGTGTGTATTTTGCATGGGGAAGACGTGCTTGTTTTTTAGAAGGCTTGGGGGGGAAGGGGGGGGGGGGCGGGTCTAATGAAGTATGTTTGCATCAGCAAGAAAGAGGAGAAAGCAGGGGATTGTTAAAATGTGTACTGTATAAGATAAAATATGGATATTATTTAATTTTGCGTGTTTGTATACATGTGTGTCATCACATGTTTGTGTTCTATTTGATGGTTCAGTGTCACTCACATAAGTGGTGTATCTCCACCATGAAAACTGTCTTGATATTAAGAAGATTTCCCTCCATTACTTGTGCTCTGTTGTGGGGCCTTTTTTATGTGGGTACAGAATTGAAGCAAGTGAACAGAACACTTGAGGACTAAGCTCTATGTGAAATTGTTATTTTTGTAAAGAACAGGTTAGCACTGCAGTTTTTGAAAACTTTTCAGATTTTTTTTTCTTTCTAGAAGGAAAAAGTTCAGTCTTGTATATTGTCACTCACTGCTGCAAGAAGAATTGGGTTACTCAATTGTCAATTACACTCCTATTGTAATTTTAAAATACTCTTTTTTTTCTTGTGACTGTGTGGTTACATATCAGGAAGCTTTATATCCTCTATTTGCCTCATTTTTTTTCCAATGTCTCTGTCATGGAGGTTTTCAGGATTCGGGAGTCTGTTGATATTTTGAACTTTTTATGTCATGCTTGACAGTTTACGTCAGATGTGAACGGACCTTTTGTGAAAATTTCTTTTTGGGGTACAAAAAAAATATGTCCCAAAAAATCTGGCCTAGTTTGGTTCGGAACCATATAATTTTGTTTGGCAACGATTTTGTGCATTCTAAAGGACCTGAAAGGTCTAGTTCGGTATTAGATTCCCCCAATACAGTGATTTGAATAGTTATTTGTTGTTGAGCTATATGATATTTATAATTATTACTGGTGGAAACTTCTGTCTAAATAACTAGCGGTTGTCTTATATCTTATATGTACCTATAACATGTTTAAAAGTGCGTCTTTGTATTGCTCACAATGTGAGATGTACCTGTCGTTTTTTTCTAATAAAGTCTGTTCCCGTGGCTCATTTGCATATATGCTTAGTTATTCTGTTCCACATGAAGTTTTTTATTCTTAGCCTGAAGTTGAAACACTTCCAGCAGTAGTGTAACGATCTTGAAGTTCATTTGAAGGGGTCAGGAAGAGTTACTCAAGCCATGGTGGAAGTACATTGTATGGCAATGGACACAATAGTGACAAGTTTTCTAGACTTTGCAATATTGATAGGTATGCTAATGGGCATTGTCTTCTCCTTGTATATAAAATATAAGTATGTGCGACGAGATTAAAAGTAGGGGCGTTTACAAAGTTGGCCTACCGAATCACAAAAAATTCTTCAACTTTTGAGGGGTGGAATAAGCTGGAAATGTTTCTTAAGGCCACAGTGAGTAGATTTCTGGTTTTTCTGGCTTGCATAATATGGCTGTTTAGCTTGATTTGACCAGATTTAATTTTGCTAATGCTGTGTTTGCTCGTACATTGAGTGATACAACCCCCCCCCCATGTCATGAGGTATTCAAGCCCTTAAATCTCTTATTTTTATGCGAGGCAGCGTAGATATTTGTAAAACAGACGAGGAGAAATATTGTGAGGGATTCTGAATTTTTCTAGTCCTGAAGAAAGTTTATGCCCGTCGAGTATGTGTTAAGTAAGGCCTGCTACGTCTTCTTCTTTTCAGTATTTGTGGGTTGCCAAGATGTTTTAAAAAACTTTTATTATTGCTGCACAAGCTTTGTCACAACTACGAGTTTTGTTGCTGATTTCACATTGATGGATAGGGTCTATATTTGTGTTTTTTGCTTTATAAGACTTATCCTCCTTTATCCTCAAAGAATCTACTCAATGTATGTTTTGAAATACATCATGGTTATGTAAAGATTTTTGCAAGACGTTATAAGCTTTGTTCATATACTGTATATATGTACATGTATGTGTGTGTGTATGTATATATATATACATAACATGTGTGTATGTATGTAAATCGTCACTATAGCAAAAAAAAGTTAATAACTCTGCCGGACCCAGCTTGACACATTATAGTAGGGTGTGTAAAAAATGGAAAGTTAAATGTTTCTTGTGACTGTGACGATGTACAATATCTATACACATACACACATGTATATTGTCTGTTTATGTGCAAGTTTTGGATTTTGATTAACAGCTATTTTTTCACTCACTTGTTTTTGTGTTTGAGCAAGATTCTTTTTCTTCTTCTACCCTGCCACAGTTGTTCTTGGAACAGAGTGGCAGGCGAGTTGAACATTGTAGCAGAATTATAAATAAATATTGTTTACCTTTTATTTTTATGTCAAGTGTCTCCTGTTGTGTGATTGTTTTTCTCTGTGGATGCCCAAGTGTGGTTTGCTTCTTTCCTATCAAACATGTATAGTCCTTTGCTTTTCTCTTTCTTATCTTTGTATGTTTTTCTCAAGTACAGTGGAAACCATATATAAAAGGCCCGGTAATAACAGGGATCCGGTAATAACAGGGATTTTTTAAATCCCTGATTTTTCCTACTCTTTGTCTCTATTAAAAATGATCGCCAATAACAGGGCCCCATTGGAGCCCAACATGTTACAGCAGGGACAAAGGCTCGTTAACAATGTGTAAAAAGTAAGAGAAAGAGAGTAACGCAGTGGTGGAGCAAGCCCATGCAGCATGTGAAGCGAGAGAGGGCAGTGGTGTGCTGCTGACCTCTATCTAGCCCGAAACCTAGCAACACGCTCGCTGTTGTCACCAACGATGTCAAGCGCAAGAAAAAAATGCCTTTCCATTGACAAAAACCCCCCTGAAATAATCCAGGCTGTTGACAAAAAGCAAGCTCCACTGGCAGAGATTTGTCGTCAGTTCGACATTCCACAAGGGTCTATTCCCACCATTATCAAGGATAGAGAGAAGATAGGGACAGCATACTCCAAAGGAAGGTTTGCTCTGAATCGAAAGAAGATGAGACTACCCGATGCAGATGCTGTGGACCAAGCTCTTCTGATGTGGTTTAAGGAGGCAAGGAGAAAGTTGGTGCCAAAACCCCTGTTCGTGGGTACTTGTGGCAAAGGAATGAATAAGTACAGCTAGATTAGTCCATAAATGCTTACTTTCCTTGCATTTCTGATTTAACAGGGATCGGATATAACAGGACATTTTCTCTACTCCCACCATCCCTGTTATATCAGGTTTCCATTGTAGTAACACCTCTAATCAAAGGCACCCATAAGACCTATTTCTGTTGCAAGTGGCATAAAACTCTGACTAAAACTAACAATTTTGGAGAATGTGAATTTCATACAGAAAGACAAGTTTGCAAAAGTCGTTTTTTTCAAAGAGAATATTCTCATAGGTCTTGAAAGAGGCACTGGTGCGAGTATAAGTGGTCACTTTGATGTTACCCCAGCTTTGAATCCGGACAGCATCGGAAAATTTTCTTCTTTAAAATTGTCTCCTTTCACCTCCCTTCCTGCTCTCTAGCAATGTTCTGTCGTCTGCTTTCATCTCCACTTTCTGGCCCCACCCCCTCACCTCCTTTGCCCCCTCCTCGGGGCTCAGGACTCTTTCTGCAGCCTTTCTACTGCTACTTTTAGACTCCTTCTTAGTGTTGTCTTTCAGCCACGCTTGATTTTATGGTAGTGGTAGGTAAGATCTAACAACTAGCCTTCTCGAATAAGGTCGAAAAATCTTGCTGGTGCCGAGTGCACATTGCGCATCCCTTGGTGGTCAAAAATCGATAAGTGTAAGTTACTGTAAGCTTCTGCCTTTACATTGGCAAAATTCAAAATTAATTCCTACCAAATTGAAAAAGCCCACTCATATGACTTTATGCAGTTGCAAGTGCCATAAAACACTTGCAAAAAAACCCCCAAAAAACAAAAACATTGGGGTATTTAAGGGGGTGTGGGACCCACCTAAGGGCTAAAATCAATATTAGACTACAGGGGTTAATGACTCGAAACTTTTCCTATAGGTTATAATTGATGAAAAAATTATTTTTCAAAAAATTTTTTTTCTAGCAATCATGATTTTCATTTTAGTGGCTACCATCTTTACTAATATTAATATAAGAGCCGTTTTTTAAATATATCTTGTTGAATTTTCTATTTTTTAGTAACATTTTATGCTCAAATTTACTTGAGTTTCAGTCAAAGTCAAAATATAAAATCTACAAAGAATAATTTTTAAAAAAATCCTGTACAATGAAGCCCCAGGACTGTCTATATTCCAAATAGCATTAATATGCAGTAGTAAATTTCGGAGCAGCAGGAAAAATGTCTAAAAATGAAAATTTGAAATTAAACAATTTTTTCTTGTTGGGAAAACACCAAAAAAATTACAGATAAGATATTATATAACAATAAATATTGGATTTCTTAGTGGATTTTAATGATATTACTCATGTATTTATGGACCAATTACAATTAGGGGGGGGGGGGGCAAAAAAAGTAATCCGTCCATAATTACGTGAGTAATCGCAAAAGTAGTGTGCAATAGTCGGAAAATCCAATTTTGCCTAGACCACCACCCACCTGTAACTCCTACATTTTAACATTTGACTGTGAAGGACAGAGCGAATGTTAGGGGCATAGCTCACCTCCCCCCATCCCCTTCTAAAAAATTATTTTGAAAATGAAAGTCGAGGTATTTTGTGCTAAATTTGGTAATGGCATGGACACTTGACTTATTTGCAGCTTTAGATTTAATCCTCTTTTCCTTTCGGAGACACACACCTCACTTTGATTGGTAACAAAATAAGAGCCTTGCCATTCAACACTGCTGTACTTCCCAGTACCATCCTACACACTCGAGCAGGCATGAGGGTATAAATAAACTCACTGTACACCAGGAGAAAGTGCATTCCCTCAAACAGTGAAATTAGGTTTCCTTCTTTGATTAGGCATGAGTTTTACAGCAATTGCTTCACAAATAGATCATGTAAGTGCCAAAAATTAGCAGTATAACTTGAGAGGATAACATACAGATAAAAGGAGGAGACATAAGGACAATAGTGTCTGACAGGAAAGAAGGAGCAAAACACATCAGAGCACCTGTAAACGACCCAAATGATGAAATGAGACTTACAAACTTGGAGACAGACCCACACTAGTAACATGATCTGCAGTAGAGTATCGATACCCAAGGGCAAAAGTCCAGTAGCTGCAGTTGGATTACAGGATCAGGTTCTCATAGATGACTCATCGTTATGAATGAATGAATGAACCTTTATTGATCTCTTAGCACGAAATTTTACATTGCCATGTTTATGGCTTTAAAACTAGTTTGCCAATTGAACAAGATCTCTCTCTTTCTCTCTCTCTCTCTCCCTCTCTCTCTCATACACACACTCACACCCCTCTCTGCTGCCAAAAGTGAAGACTGCAGTGGTCTTTTTCACACTAGTACAAAAGTTGTTATAACTGTTTGCACTCCATCATTTTCATATTAAGGATATCAACCCCATACTCAACAAAAAAAGAAATGTAAAAATCAAACCTCCCAAACCTATACAGCTCTCCAACTATATCACTACACATACTACTGTCTCATATATCATCAGACAGCTATTCGGACGAACAAAGCATTGAATTTTCAACCTTTTTAAAATTGCAAAAGCTGGATCGCTAACAACAACAAAATTGCAAATCCTTAATCTGTGGCATTTGAGGCATGTGCTCAAGAAATATTTCGTCAGTATTCAAATTCTAAATGTTGAAAAAAAAATAGCAACAAAAATTTATTCATTAAGTAGAGGTACAATTGTTAAAAGAATGAAATTTTTTTTCTCTCTTGAAAATGTTGTGTTCTGGACTTAAAACATTTGAACAACTTGTTGACGATATGCCTTTTTATATCAACTCTATGTGGAGGTCCATGATTAGAAACTGTACAGCTAGTCAATGGGTTTAGAGTCACATTTTACCAGGAACAGATTAAGACACACACACACATACACACACACAAAACAACAACAATAAACGAACAAACAAAAAAGACCCAGAGAAGTAGAACGAACAGACCACACCGCAGGGTCTACCTGGTGGAGATGGGTTGTTATAATTGATCCCTTTTTTAAAATCATATTCAAATTCAAGCAATGATGGCAGATGAACAAACAGTTGTATTTCAAAATCATGAATGAAAGAGTTTGGAGAATGTTTATTTTAATTCCAAACAAGCCAAAAGCAAGATCAAAAATATTTCTCGTTCAGGGCTTTCCTCAGGGGCAATGATCTTTCGATCAAAGTATTTTTTACTATGAACTCACTGAACTCAGAATATTACATAACTTTTCATTAAAAAATATGTCATAAACATTGAGGAGATCTAAAACTTTTCTCATTATTTTTACTTTTTCTTAGAACCAAATGTGACTTTCAAGTCAACAATCAAGCTTGTAAGTTGTGGCAGATAGTGTGAGATAAGCATCACAAACTGCTGCAACATATTCATCTTGCTATGCTTTAACCAAGCAACATATTCTCAAAAAGTTCTGATTTTTAAAAAAAATGAGAGTCCATGAAAGTAAGCCCTATGCTTTAATTCTATTTCACATGGTAAGAGCATAACAACATCCATTGATAAATATATCATCGTCATCATGATAAGATGGAAAACAACATTTTTAATTTTGCTTTTTCATTTAACGTATTCAACAAAGCATTTTTCATATGCTGTTTAAAAATGTATACTCAATAAACTATCAAAAGTGGACCTTTTGAACAGTATGAAAATCAGATAACTCTAAGCCATCTTTTTATAAATCAATCTTTTTCCTTCTCCTGAAAAATATACCCAATGTCATTTATCTAATCTTATCATGACAGTGAGAATAGTACAGTATTTATCAGAGCACCAGCGGCCTGCATTCTAGGTCAAGAACAACATGCCACACGTGCGGAGCATATGACTTGACCACTTCTACATGCAGTTCTCTCACTGACCACTGTCCACCTTTTTTTTCTTCCAGTAAGCCAGCCATTCTTTTTTGTACATAGACAGACCACTCGTCACAAACTTTCTTCAGATTATACTTCTTGGAATTAACACAAGTGGGGGCATTCTGTTCCAAACTAGTTGACATTTTGGAATGTCCCAGTGATTTATTTACTCCTCCATCCTTTCTTGTATCAAAGTTACATTCAGAGTTTTCAACACCAGCAAAAAACGATGAAAAAGAACCTGAATCCTTCACATCACAGCATCCCTCGTTGACCCCAGTTTTAACTGATAGTGATGTGTTTCTCTGGATGTGGACATCCTCCCTACCACAGCCCTCAGAGTGTGTTGCAAGTCCTTCTGCCACACCCAGATGATGTAATCCTGTTGACAAAGATTGTACTGGACTCCCAGACTCTTTCATCATTCTCCCATCATTCTTCTGTCCACCCACACAAGCACAAGAAAGGTCCACACGCGAACACTCTGCAACCTCCTCCGTTCTCTCACATACTCTCTCAGAAACTGGGGACTGTTGAACAGTCGTTGGAGAATCTGAATCTGAGACATGCCGGTCCTGAAGGGCAAAAGTGTCCAGATGACAGTCCCTGCCTTGATCCACAACAGTTTTAGATTGTGGTGCTCCTGTTTCTAAGAATTCCCTGACACAATCAGCTTCAACAAACTTCCTTTCACCCCTCTGCTGCATGTCTGGGGCCATAGACAAAGTTCCAGGAACTTCCTGCGACAAGACAGTCCTTGGAATTGAAGACACATTTCCATGAATATGCATAATACCTCCCTCCACTTTAAGAACCTGAACAGCTATTGGCCATCCAGGTTCGGAGCTGGGAATGAGGCCAAGGTTTACCACGTCTGCCACTGAAGTCAGTTGAAGCTGCCGACAAAGGAATGAAGTGACAATAAGTACCATTTCATAGTTATGAGCAGTTAAACTCAGATATAAAGAAGTCATCGGGCCTCACCTTCAATTTTGTTGAATCCAAGGGTTTGTTATAGGGTTAATGTGAGCAACAATTTGCGTTGCGGTGTAGGGCCTAGAGTATAGCACCATTTGGTTCCACAGACCAGCATGCAATCCATTACAGTTCTATGTCTGTCTGAGCTTGTCTACCGTTGTCCGGTAGCCAGGAGAAAAAAATAAGGGTGTGATGCACCTGTATCTCTACTGATGTTCAACACCCAGAAAGCTTGAGTCCCACCCAATCTCCAACAGTCCCTCCCCCAGACAAATGCACACATAGTCACAAATGTGCTGGATGCCCACCCAACCTCTCTGACCCCAGCGTTAAGACACTTCATATCTTATGCCTGCATATGTATCAATAATGCATGTGTTAGTGTGAGAGATGGCTTCCAACTGGTCGCATAAGATGTATGCAAGCAATAGGCAAAGAGTGCAGGCTTAATGATCCACTGTGCATTTCTTTTGAAATAAATCAGATAAGGGTCATTATGAGAAACAAATGCACAATGCTGCATCAGCTGTTTGCCCTACAAGCCACTTTGTTGAATCAAAATTTTTTCATTCATATGTTAGTTAAATCTGAATTATTTTGATTTCACTTAATTTTTTAAAAAAAGGGGGAATGCATTTCCCATCGTTGAATCTGACTTCTTAGTATCCGAGTTTCATAGAATCTTCTCCAAAAGCAGGGTTGTTCGACGTCTTATCTAAAAAATGTGCAGTACAACAAGACAATTTGGACACAAAAAAAGCTAAACTGAACAGGCAGAAAGGTCACATTTGATACTACATAGTGGCCAGGGAAATCTTCCTCCTAAAAATCTTACCACACCCAAAAAAATCCTACCACTATAAGTCAAGTCGTTTCTTGCCATTGTCAGAGTTACGGCTCTCGTCAAAGAGAATCACGTAGAAAGGGCTATTTCATACACATCTTACGATGGCAGACTTCATCACCCCTGCGATCCCAAATGTTCCACGGTAGCCAAGTTTTGTGCGACTACACTGAAAACTCATCTATTTTAGAGTCTGAAAACATCTCATGAATGAGAAGACCCGTGTCAACAACTGCTCTAGTAGATTACTATTATATTACTGTTGGTGCTCCTTTCAGTATCCCTCACAACACTTGTTCTGTTCTTGGTAAAGCTAAGAATAGATTTGGCACCATACTGGGTGGTTTGGGCTTTCATGTGTTTTTGAAATACCATGAAAGTGTTCAAAGCCTTTACATCTGAATGACCGATGACATACACTTGGGAACTAAACTTACATCTGAACTTGCCTTTATCATTTGGATACAGTAGTCTCCACCTAAATGCACGCCATACAAAAGCACTCTCCGCTCAAACACACGCTTTCGTCATCTGACGGGTTTTTTACTATTTAATTTAGACATATAAACACATGGTCACTCCCTCTAAACGCACGCTCCGATCCGCGAAACACGACGACAAGTTAAGCTTGGCCAGGGGAAATTTTCACGACAATCTGCACAGCCTGCATAAGACAAGCCTAGAATTTACTAGAAAACCGGATATTTGGTGAGAATGCCCCTCACGCCGTACAAAGAGAGTGATGGACAGCGTTTACACACCCTACTTTCCACTGATGCATAGGTCTCGGTCTAGGGCTGGTCGGTTGAATGTTGGGGGGGGGAGGATGAGATGGGATTGGGGAGACTAAAATGTTTTTTGATTGGTCACTGGAAATGTATCTTTGAGAGAAGATTTCTGACTGGTGTTTGAGTTTGAGTGACTGTGTGTAATGTTTAGTTAGATCTAGGCCTGATGCGTGACATTCGTAAATGCCGCAAAACACTAGACAGGCCTCTATAGGATTAAAGATTAGCCAAGTAATCCTAATAATCTGCGCTCAAAGAACTTGACATACTTGTTCAACGAATCACAAGAGAAAATGTTTCTTGAGGATGATTCTGCATGAAATTTATGGTCGCAGGTGGTCACTTGGAAAGCCACGTGGCTGGTCCGTCATCTCTATGACTATAACCAACAGTTTCCTCTTAGGCTATCTGTTCCTGATGTTTATAGTACATTTTCATTACATTGAGTCTGTTCCCCCCCCCATATATCAAGAATATCGATGCTGTCACTTTCACCAACCAATTTAGTATATATAACCCTCTCTATATATAAATATCATTGAGCTTACTAGCTCGCCTCGACTATCACGCATCCAATGACACACCAACCATTTAGTTCACTAACACAGCTTACAAGGTACGATGGATCCCGATTCCAAACAAGGCCTGCACCAACACGCGCCACGCACTATGCAGAAAGCTCTCATTGCAATCAAAATTCTAAATGCTAATGCTAAAATTTGCTACCAAGTTCAGTTTTTATCCCCGGGAGTATCTTAAAAAAAAAATCAATAACACCGACATTCTAGAGTCCTATATTTCGCAGCGCTCAGACTTAGAATGAACTTTGGAGACCCTAACATTCGCGGTACTCACTTGACGCCTTATCATGTGTATGATATACAAACATGCAGGTTCACTGACCGGTCACGATGGCGAGCCCGACAAGACGCTTGTATAACTTTCTTTTTATTTTACACAAGTGACAAATATTGATTTATTTTCATGGTGACACAGCCTTTATAATGTACAAACTGCATGTTACAATGTTGTGCTATCAAACTATTACCAGCAAATTTCAGGGAGGCTGTGAAAGCGAAAGTACATCTAGATTTTCCCGATCGAGCCTGTGTATCACTGATACACTTCCGCTTGCCGCCTGTTCGCATGAAACGTACTCTCAGACCGTGAAAAGCCGAATGATCGCGACCAACAAAATGAACTTAAGGACGTTATCGGATTTGGTTTTCAAATATTCGAGAACTTTTATGTATTTACCCGCATCTTTCGCGAGGCAATTTACAGATTTCCTCAAATTTCCTTTATTTCCGACGTTGATCCAACCATTTCCGTATAAAACAAACTTTGTCCGACAAAAATCCGACTTATCCGACCTAAACAAAAATTTCCTACCAATTTCCGACCTCCCTGGCCACCCTGTACTAAAAAGATCAAAGAAACCTTAAAATTATTCTTTAAGGATGTATAAAACAGAAAATGAACACAAAAATTTATCTGGTAAAAGATTCCCATTTCATCATCTCAGTCTGTCAAAGACTGCCATCAGATGGGCAGCACTGGAGCTCATAATGGGCGTGGTTATCATTTTCACAATACTCTGTGCTTGTAGACATTCTCATGAGCAGCTGCCAGGGCTAAAGAATGACAGTAGGTGATGGGAGAGAGCAACTGACAGGTTCTATTCTTTTTCTATTTGGCTATTACTTTTGTCCTAGTCAACTTTTTCTATTGCAAAAAAAAAAAAAGAAGAAAAGACCATCAGTATGTCAATGAGCTTTTCAGTGACTGAAACAAACAAACAAACAAACAAACAAGAACAACTGCAAAGCCCCTCTCTCCTACCTGACGGTTATCTCCCTCGTAAACAGTGCATCTGCCAGCCACCCCATTCGCCTCCAGGTTATGTCGCAGGGCAATCACAGCGGAGGGATTCCACTCGCAGGCATGTACGTGCGTCGCCCCGGCATGCACCAGATAAGGCAGTGTGAAGTAACCAATGCCTGGAGAGAGACATGGAAAAATGACAAAATGAAAAAGGAAATCAGAAGTGATTGTGGTCATTTGAAGTCCTCTCAGGGGCATTGTCGCAGAAGGCACCAGTTCATATGAAAAGAATGACTAAAATGTAAAATGACGCATTTTTTCATATTTTTACGACTTAGAACTGGTGTGTGTTTTTGGGGAAAACAAAATTACTGACCACAGTTGTCCCATTTTATCGCATTTTGGGAAGTGGCCATTTGTAGAGATGACTGTCTTGAACAAGTGTCTGTTAGAGCAGATTCGACTGGACATGTTACCAAAGCCAAACTGCTCAGTATAGGAGGGGGTTCACTACCCAGCACTGATTGAGGTAAAACTAAAACTAGAACCTGAACTCCAAATAAAAAACTATTAAAAAATTGCATGCAGAGCCAGATTCTACATCAGTAAGTCATACCGGCATATAAATCCACGACCGTCAGTCCCTTACAGTCAAAGCCAGCAACTCGCAATTTTTCCGTGACATTACCCGAGCTGAACATACACTTGGTCACATCAAAACCGTACCTGGATAAAACAAGGAGGAGAACTGATTTATTTTTGAAAACCAAACCAAATGCATGTATAAGAACACTTCGTGTGTGAAATACTTAGTGAAAGCGATCTTTGTCTTGGTCTCATTTTATAACTCTTCTTAACACAAAATATGCCATCTAGACATAAATTTGACAAGCATTAAAGAATGAAAGAAAAAAATTCACATATTTTTATTCTCATTTATACCTTGACAGCTATTATATTGGTTGAGTTTGCGGCCAACTATGCCCTATTTAGCAGAAAGTACAAAGAGACTCATCCATACACTGTTGACATCTCTAACAGAACAAGGCAATAATATTCTCTAGACAAAGAACAGAGGACACAAACAGCCTTTAGGGGGGACAGAACTATAATACAGTGGAACTCGGATTCAACGAGAACTCGGATTCAACGAGAACTCAGATTCAACGAGGGAAGATGGATTCCCCCTTTTTTTTTCTTTTTTAAAATCAATAAAAAATATCAACGAACACTTAAATCAGCAAGCTTGGATTCAACGAGGTCACTTCCATGGTGAACAGCCCCTGCAGACGTGGCTTCGCTCATTTTTCTCCCACAACAAACTTTATATATTCCCGAAAACCATCCATTGCACCTGCATCGTGAACCATTATTCGCTTACCTGACTGCATGCAACCAATCAACAGCCTTCTTTCATAACAACACATGTGTTGTTGGCACGCACGTGTCTACTCTAGTAACACGAGTGACTGTGTGTGCGTGTCCAGGGGAGGGGGGGGGCACCATCGGTCTGGGAGTGGAACATGGCAGAGATACAAGCGCATCACTGTTCCCCCCCCCCCCCCCCCCCACCGCAACTGATCATTGTTACAATGGCAAGCTAGTCTTGATGTAGATCTACGTAATGAATTGGGTACAAAGTTGCCGTATGCTAGGCTCTACACAGCAACACAACTTTTGGCAAACAATCGAGATGACACAGGCACGCATTTGAATGAATCGGTCTTTTTTCGCCCAGCTCATAAAACACAGGCATTTCAGGCACCACTTGTTACTTCTCTTCAGAGATAACTTGCTCAGTGCCTGTAATTATTTACACAAAACCTCCTGTTTGCTATAACGAACACTCGGATTCAACAAGATTTTAGGTCAGGCCCGGCGACCTAGTTTAATCCGAGTTACACTGTGCAACTGCAGACAAATGAAATTCTACTGAAACAAAAAGGAAGAAAAGCAAAGACAAAACACCTCTACTTTACAGCACAGATATGAAGATTCAGATATTTGTCCATTTTTTTTAAAAAGAGAAGAGCACTGCATTAATTGCAAGAATAATAGCAATACAGTATAAGAAAAAAGCAAGCTGTACAGACAAGCTAAAGAGGAGAAAAAAATTTAGGACCCATGAATGACATCTTCAACTATCTACCAAATGTCAAAAGACATAATGATAAGATAAGGTAAATTAGAACGAACTGTGTAAAGCATGTCTTGGAAAAACAGAGACGAACAAACTACAGAAAAAAAAAGACTCCGTTAGCCTGTCATAAAGCCATCATATTACAAGTAATAATAATCATACACTTTTAAAGGTGACAAAAAATATATCTTTCCTGCTCACAATACAAGACAAAGCAACCTACTTGATCTCATTGTCCACATGCATCACCCAGCCATTGTCTCCCCGCAACAAACGAACTTGTGAACTGCGGAACCCATCTTGAGACACAGCAGACGACCTGGCCAGTCTCTGACATGACAGTGTCTCTACGACAATCTCCCACAACTTGACTCCTATAGAAAACAAATTCGTTCAAACTGGTTGATAGAAGCAGTCGCCTGAAGTCTCCACCATTACTTTTTTTGCATCTTGGGCATTTATTCACTCTTGCGTCATGTCACAGTTTATTTTGTTGTTCATTCTTTTTCTAAAGTCTGATACTATCTAAAACCATAATAAAACGTGAGTGATAAATGTACAAAGGTAGAGACAGTGGTAACATAGTAACACAAATTAAGCTAGTTCACGATTAAATCCTAACCAAAAATGCACTGTGCCAATCATTAATTCAAATTTATCATCTTGAAAAAAGGCAGATGAAAACTTCTATCTCCAAGCATTCAATTCGCTAAAATGAAAGATAAATTTCTTATGAAAGTTTTTGAACAATGTCATTCAAAACTACTTTTCTCAGAACAACAATAACAATGCCAAGATCATGAACAAAAGCTCAGGACAAGTGCCTCATTATAGACACAACCCAGGCCATTACAGACCACAGACCTAGCTTGTCCCACTGTGGAGAACTGAAAGAGCCCACTGGAAGGATGACGAGGTCCCCATGTCGCTCCCATTTTTTGGGCACTTCTTGGAGAAGAGAAATAGCTGAAATTAGAAAAAAAGAGATTTGAATGAGCAGCAACTTAATTAATACAAGTCGCAAGAGGAGTATATGAATCTGCAACAAACAACACATTCAGCAACACATGAAGCCATTTTTTCACCTACATAAAACTTGTATTAAAAATATATATGAAAAATAAATTCAAGATCAAACATGTATAACGCCAAACAAAAAGAGGACATTAACCACAGAAGAAAAAAATTCTAACACTTTTTTTCAAATCCAATAAAAGCAACTCTCCTATAAGCTACTCCTTTCTTGTGACTAGTAAGCAGACTCAAGTCTCCTTGCACTTTAGGCACCCCATTGTGTGCACAACTCTCCATACAAGCCAGTTCCCACTAATGATGCTTGTCAGATTTGAAAAAGAGAGTGTTTAATTGTCAAACCAAACCAGTTCTTTGTTGAGTTCCCACTGATAATCCCCAACATCCTCCTGCAGTTACATACCCTTGTGCTACTTCGTGACACAGTTAAACTTACGAATATCGTGACATTTCAGTTCTGCAAAAAAGCGGTCCTTCAAGGAATTTGGTGGAGCTTCGTTTTTAACTTTCACTTTTTTTGACCTTGGAAGAGCAATCTTGACTGTCTCAAAATCTGGCCAATACTGCTTAACCTGTGATATTTTGGAACTCAAGACTGGAACAGCTACAAATTCATTCTTGAGTTTTTGCAGTCTGTGCTGGCCATCCCAAAGATTGTGTTTCTCCAACTGATGCCTGAGGAAAAAAAATTGATCTTGTTTGTTTGTTTTAGTAGAGGTTTTACAGCGCTCGCAACTGCATAAGGTCATATGAGCGCCAAGGGGTGGATTTAAACAGAGAAGCCCTTACAGGGAATCAGACTTACCCTGCTCACCTCTCTAGTTTCAACAGCACAAAGTCTGCTTCGACTATTAAGGCACCCCGGAAATAGCGGGTCACAAGAGTGTGACAAACACAAAAGAAGTAGAGGAAAATGAAGATAGTAAAGATTAGGAAAGAAAAAGCAGTAGTTCCCTGTTGTAGTTCAGGCACAGTTATGAGCAGGATATTGTTGGATCAGCCCATTTACAATTCTATTGTGCATAGAACGAGAAATGTCCCCCATAGGGAATGGCCTAAAGACACTTCAGTCAGTGGCACCGCCCAGGGGGTTGATCTTGTTTGATTCTTCTTTCAACAAGGGGCTCTCGTGGCCTAGAGGTTAAGGTGTTGGCCTCTCATTCAAAAGGTCCCGGGTTCGAATCCGGGTAGTGACCGTAAAATTGTCTTCTCTAAAATTGTCTCCTTTCACCTCCTTTCCTGCTCTCTTGCAATGTTCTGTTGTCTGCTTTCGTTTCCACTTTCTGCCCCCACCCCCTCACCTCCTTTGCCCTCTTCTCTGGGTTCCTGACTCTTTCTGCAGCCTTTCTACTGTTACTCCTTGGCTCCTCCAGACTGCTGCCTTTCTGCCACACCCCTGATCTTCTGGTAGGAAAGATCTACACCTAGCCTTCTCGGACAAGGGCGAAAAATCTCGGAGGGCCTGTGTGCAAGTTGCGCACGTTAAAGATCCCTTGGTGGTCTAAAATCAATAAGAGTAGGCTTCGGCCGCCACCCGGGCAAAATTCAAAATTTCCTACCAACTGAAAATATTAGGTGTGTCCTGCGCGCTCATATGACCTTAGGCAGTTGCGAGCGCCGTAAAAACACTTACCAAAACAAACAAAAACAAACATTCTTTCAACAACAAGTGTGATCAGCAGTCACAAAAATTTTGATTGTCTTTTCGTGTGTGTGTGTATCCTTTTTCAGATTATGGTTGGATATACATGTATAACATTTGAAAAGATAATTGTTCATTAAATGGGCTACACGCACGAAGAATTTTATATTGTATAAGCTGTTGAGATTCTATTTTATTGTGAAGCGTCTAGAGCCACCAGTGAGTGGGCACTATGTGAGTGATCTTTATCAATATATTATTTTATCTTTTCTTTACAAGCAGAACAAATGTGAGGCAGCGTGGTGAAATCAGACGCTCGTCAAAAGAACGAAATCGGCGAAACAGGCATTTTTCCGCCAGTTTGGAAATTTTGTTTGAATTTTTATTTTTTGGTTTAACTTAACCTCTTTTATGTCATTTTTTAATGTCTATATAAAAACACATTTCCATGAGAATTTTACTGAAAAACATTGATTGAAAGCACAAAATATGTCAGGGGGCTCTCATGGCCTAGAGGTTAAGGTGTTCACCTTTCATTCAATAGGTCGCGGGTTCGAATCCAGATAGCGACAGAAAATTTTCTTATTTCACATCCTTTCCCGCTCTCTAACAATGTTCTGTCGTTTCCTTTCATCTCAACTTTCTGCGCCCACCCCTTCACCTCCTTTGCCCCCTCCTTTGGGCTCCTGACTCTTTCTGCAGCCTTTCTACTGCTTCTCCTTGGCTCGTTCTTACTGTTGTCTTTCAGCCACACCCCTGATTTTATGGTAGGTAAGATCTACACCTGGCCTTCTCAGACAAGGGCCAAAAATCTCACACCAAAATCCATAGTAATAATCTCTGAATATGAAACAAGCTTTAGCGTTTCAGTTTCAGATATAGGGAAGGCCAAATTTAAAAAAAAAAAAAAATACAGACCAAAAAAAAAATTAAGAACCAAAATGGAATGAAACAAAAGAACAGAAAGGAGAGAAAATTTCAGTAAACTGCACTGCCTTAATTTTCGGATGACACTTCCAGGCTCAATTCTTGAGCGATACAATACCATTGGTCTTGACAACATAAAATTAGTATCATAATAGTACATGTATCCCTAACATCATTACTTGAATTTCCTAGAAAACCTTCAAATTTAACCCCATTCATTTCATTCACTACTGGAAAGTTTTCAAAATTTAACAGTCAGCACCTTTCCAAACAATTTTCTGTGATGTAAAAGTAAACATTTTTCTGTAATGTGAAAGTAAATTTATACCACCCATTCCAATAGCACTACGTTGGTATACTGGCTTCTCTAAAGTACTTAACAGCTATACCTAAGCATGACAATCTAAATTTTCATGATGGTATAATCCTCCTGACTTCTAGTTCTAGAAGAGACCAAACAAAAATCAAGTTCAGTCTAGGATAAGATTTTTCTAGGACTCAGAGAAGTAAAGTAAATTATCGATTGTGTAGTCTGTCATTCTGTGCCACTGCTACTACTATGCTCTAGTCTTGTCTTACAATAAATGCTATCAACAATTTATCACACATTTGGTCAGACAAATTTTATTGACAATGATTAAATTCAATTTCTATCAGCTGATGATCTGCCATGACATTGAAGGTAAGAAAGCATCATACAATGTCATTGCGTTATAACCTTCTTACTAGTCGGCTGCCTTGCTTTGACATGTTCTACCAGAACTAAAAAAGATATTGTCATTATCACGATTTGGCACAATCAGTATGTGAGACTGATTTCCTCTGGTGACGCTATCCAACTAATACTTATAGCAGTGGCGGTGGGTAGTGAAGGGCTCACGGGCTTGAGCCCCTACCCCCTCCCCACCCACCTCCCCCAACTCTATCCCAATGTAAAGGAAAGTTTCTCCATAATGAAATAAGCAGTTGAAACCGTTATGACTGCACGCAATGAACACAGAGTGATCAACTTGGCGGCTTGCTCGCTTATCCAATCACTGTTGTCCCCGCTTACAACTATAGTAACCCAGCAGCCAATCAAATGTCTTTAGGGCTCAGCGAAGATGAGCCCTTTTCCCACACCCATCCTTAATGAAACTCTTCTTGTAAAAAGGTAAAAGACTGGGAAAAAATAACACTGTACCGAGGGCTCACACTCTCCTAGCCCTGACAGTGGGGTGAAAGTTTACGACACACTTTCTCCCACTAACACAGATACCTGCCTATGCGCTCATTGGTTCTTTGTTGGGTGCGTTTAACTTTCTCTACGACACGGCCTAATCCAGCTCATAGAAGTATTATGTTTGAAGTGCTGTGTGTGCATGTTTGTGTTTGTGCCGCTGAGATTTAACAGTTATAAATCAGGTCGAACTACTTTTAAGGCAACTTTTTCATCACACGAAAACTAATTAGAGGAAATCTAGAGGTGCATCGGCTTCGTCCCCACCATCAACAAGAATTTAACTGAGAACAAAGAGATGGAAAACAAAGGCAACTCTTCTCGTTTGAATGATTCTCAAACTGCAGTGGCTCACCGTGAGTATAGAAAAATCATCACTGTGTAGTTCTTATTGCTGGCTTTTTGGTGGTAAAGAACTGGGAGCAACCTAAGCCCCACCCAAATTTTAGTCCACCCACCGCCACTGACTAATAGTAATGATTTAATAACATAGTTCATCCGTCATTGTCTGACAATGGTCAGTGCATCCACTGAGGAGAATATTTCTTAAAAGCGAGCGAGAATAAAAATCAAAGGTTAAGAAAATTTTTGGTTTCTGCTATGGCCAAAGAAAACGCAATTCTTGAAGAGAAAAGTTAGCCACATTTTGAACATTCAAAAGCTCCACTTTCAATTGTAGTTGTGAGAAACTTGCTGCCTTCTCACTTAATTTCAGCATTTCTTATGCATGAAGCCTCATGAATTGCTGTCCACCGTGACCTGTTACTCTCCAACTGGGTCTGTCAGGAGTATATTATAAAATAGGCTATATGCCCATAGCAAAGGGTTTTTGTTGAAATTCTTCATACATTTTCAGGGTAACTTTGAAGCTTTTTTAAAGTGCGCAAAGTTTACGCTTTCCAGGGGACAGTTCAGAATAAAAAAATGCCTTTGGTATTCTGAAATCAGGTATTCTAACGAAATGGCCAATCCACTGTAGTTGAGTACATTCCGTTGAGCTTACACTTACAGACTTTCTGCATTAATTGCTCTTCTAAGAATTTCGTTGTCTGGAATTTTATCCTGCTGTTTGATGTCAAGAGAATTCCCCTGAGGCATTTTCATGGGGAAATGATTAAGCTTCCGGAATCTTGATTGGCACGTAGTTTGGTACTGACACCATCCAGGTCTCGCACTGTACAACAACTCAAGTGTCAACAGGCTTCGGATTGGGAGGACAAATATATAGGCTATGCATAATATTGTAGTCAAGTACGGAACTAAAAAGCAAACAAGTGTAATATTTTAATTAATTTAATTTCGCATAAAGTTATTACAAATCGAACATTTTTAATACGCCCAACTAATTTAAACCACTAGATCTAGGCCCTCCTACATGTTCTTACCGGAGGACTTCGATCCATAGCGAGCGACCAGTGGCGGTGGGTGGACCAATTTGGGGGGAGCTTAGGTTGCTTCCAGTCTCCAGTTCTTTACCACCAAATGCAAGCAATAGAAACAGTGATGATTTTTCTATACTCACGGAGAGCCACAGCATTTAAAATTAAGAACCATCCATTCAAAAGAGAAAATTTAAGTAGTAACCTTTGTTTTCCATCTCTTTGTTCTCAGTTAAATTCTTGTTGATTGTGGAGACGAAGCCAATTCACCTCCAAATTTCCTCTAATTAATTTTCATGTGATGAAAAAGTTGCCTTAATAGTAGTTCGACCCGATTTATACTGTTAAATCTCAGCGGCACTTACACAAACATGCACACAGCACTTCAAACATAGTCCATCTATGAGCTGGATTAGACCGTGTAGTCGCGGAAAGTAGAACGCACCTAACAAAGAACCAATGAGCGCATAGGTACCTGTGTCAGTGGAGGAAAGTGTGTTGTAAACTTTCCCCCCATAGTCAGGGCTAGGAGAGCATGCCCTCCATACATCTTTTCAGACATGGCTTTTAATTGCCTTTTTGACAAGAAGAGTTTCAATAAAGGATGGTCCGAGAGAATGGGCTCCTCCTTTGCTGAACCCTAAAGACATTTGATTAGCTGCTGGGTTACTAGATCTAGATCTATAGTAAGCGGTGACAACAATGATTGGATAAACGAGCAAGCCGCAAAGTTGATCACTCGGTGTTCATTGCGGGCGATCATAATCATAACGGTTTCAACAGCTTATTTCGTTATATGGAGAAACTTTCATTTACTTTCAGATAGAGTTGTGGGTGGTGGGTGGGGAGGGGGGAGGGGCTCAAGCCCGTGAGCCCTTCACTACCCACTGCCACTGCGAGCGACCATTATGTCATTATGAGACAGATATGACAGAGGGCTTGGGCTTGGGGTAGATTCTAGATCTATTTCTCTAGCTAGGGCGAGGGGGAGGGTTAGTCTCTTCTTCATTGTGTTTGTTGGGGTGGTCGCTCGTTACGGAAGTCATTCCCTTCTTACAGTACCGATCAAGCCAAGACCAAAAGCCAAGGCAAAAGCCGAAAGAAGACTTTTGACTCACCTGACGTGCTGAGCCTTATCGGACGGAACGATGATAGCATGGGAACATAATTGGAATTCTTCACCCATTTGGATATAATATCTGATATTGTCAGATTCTAAAACGAAAAGCACTGGCCTAGTCTTAGCAGTAGGCCTAAAAACTAGATTTAGGGCCTAAAGCCTATAGCAGTCAAGACGAGACAGCACCAATCAACTTTCGGTTTCTCTATTTCTCTCATTGTACTTTTGTTCTTCGGCGGCTGATTGTTTTCGTTTCGTTTCGGCAGTCGACCGACTCACGACCGTGGTTTCTGTTTTGTATTATTCAAAATGTCAACTTCCTGCTTTTCTTAGTGAGGTGGGATCGAACTATTTTCTTTTGGATTCAAAAGTACAATGTTTTTTCAGTTCATGTCTAATTAAGTTTGAACCATTCCAAGTTTATCACAAAGTGGACAAATTTAATTGTTGAGAGACTCTGTAATCGTAAAGTTTTGCTGAGGTAATGTGTTCACTCTGAACTTTTGCTCTACTTTTTACTTTGAAGCGGAAGTATCAGGTCATCGCTCATATCACAACTGCCATTTGGTTAAGTTCAATTATGGACCAATGTGTAGCGCCGGGAGTGGAACAGAAAGTACAGAAACTATGAGCCTTCGCCCTTCTTAGTTCAATAGTAGTCTTCTTGAAGAACATCTTAAGTGGTGTTTCCTTGATTGTTTGTGCCGTTAGTTGGCGAGGGGACCAACTTTATTTTTTTATCACCCCTGACATCGGGTAGGATTCATCAACTCGTGTACTGTCCTCATTTCTAAACCAGTCTCATTCACTTCAGTAACACACCCACTCAGTGTAACACATTGCTTATGGTCACACCCATCTCGTTGACACCAAACGGAAAGTAATACTTAAGTGCGTAGGCATGAAGACGTCAAGTCACGTCTTCATATAGGATATGTTCAAGAAACATACCAAAGATTATTAATCTGATTTGACTTGAAAGAAGACTTGTGAAGTTTGACACAGGTGGTCACAACCAACTGTTTTGCTGTGGTCTGTGGTGTGGAACAACAGTGTCACTGGGTCGGTCCGTTGGTATTTTTTGCTTCTCTTTTTGTATCGTTGGTTTAACTTATCATTGATGATGCTGCACTATGAAATATGCGTTGCTGTCAAATCTCCATTCTTGACAAAAGACTTGTTTTGTCTTTTTGTTCACTTTCTTGCTTCCTCTCACAAATGTGACACCTGTTACCAGAACTAGAGATATCTAGATTAGACTAGATCTAGTCTAATCATTGTAGATTCTCGAAGGGAGAAAGTAGGTAAGGCTTAGGAGTAGATCTTGATCTAGATCTAGATTTCTAGATTCTATCTAGATCTAGATCTAAATCTAGAAATAGTAGTAGTGGAGTGTACTGTTACTGGTGTAGATCTAGATCTAGATCTAGTTGTGGCCTCAGCCTCTACTCTAGGGTTAGTCTTGCTATAAAAGTAAAAGCTGATTTCAATTGGATTTTACAGCTCTTACTTTGAATCGTATACATTTTCTACTCCAATGTTTCTAATGTTAGTCTAATGCTATAGAATCTAGATTTGTAGTAGCATATTGAATTATGTACAAACGGACAAAAATTTGAAGGATAGTGGAATGTCCATACACAAAACTATTCCCCACCCCCCCACCCACTGTGGCTGATGTGAGTGTGTTGTTGTGAAATTTGTTTTGAGCAAATTCTGGTGCTGGTGGCTTGTTTTTACCATGGATGTGGAATAGTTGTTGTATGTCATTACATTATTCACAACGCCCTCTGTAGGAAAGCCACTTGAGTCTAATGAGAGTGTTGAGTCATGGCTAGGCAGAGTAGATTGTCTAGGTCTAGTTTATGTTTCGGGTTGTTGTTGGAAATGCATTATTTCACATATATGTAGCTCTGTGTACTACTTTTTTTTACATGCTACAGAGAGCAACTAGCGCACTTCTGTGATTTGCTGAAATTCAAATAGATTTATTTCCGCCATCTATTTTTGTCGTCTTCCGGGGTTTCCCACAAGACTCTTGGATTTCCCGCGCAAGTAACTGTTGACTAGAGATCTAGTTCTCGCCGTATTGTTTTTTTTTAAAGTATTTATTTACAAACAGTCTCAGCAATGCTTGTTCCATAAATTTACCTTCTCCTCAAAGTTGTACTCACACACACACAATAGCGTGTGCACACGCAGACACGCACACACACCACGGCGCACTGGCAGCGGAATTTTAGTTGTAGCAGGGGATTCCCGCCTATTTCTGACCCAAAAACTAAAAATGAATGTGTTTGCTGTCATAATATGGCCGGCACTATATCTCCGAACGTTCGGGAAAATAAAGCTGGGCACTATTTCTCCGAACACTCTGAAATCACATCCTTTCCCCGCAAATTTCGGATATTATATATATAGATCTATAATTGTATTATAAGGCCTACCAAAGATTGTTCGTATGTATACACGCAATATATATATGGTTCAATCAGTCCAAAAAATGTCGGCAGTAAATATTTTATGAAGAAATGCTACAGTTCCAAACAGTTTTTCGCTACAGTGACGTGTTGCCTGTAAAGGGTGCTGCTCTTAAACTTAATGTGTTGTGTTCACTCGTGTGCTATCTAGATCTAGATCTCTAGCATCTGCGTTTGTCATGGCCGCGATCAATCAATTGTGGCTCGGTTTTTTGTCATTTTTTGGTCCCCGAATCGGGGAATAAAAGTCAAATTTAAAAAAAAAGAAATAAAAAAAAGATACGAAACTGTTTACTTTTGAAAGAAAGTTGGTCACTTAACTTCACTTCGTCTCTGTCTCACTTGTTGTCACCATGTTGATTTGTTGAATACGTTAGTTACATACGATTTGTTTTGCTGTTCCTCTTTTATTTTTCCCTCTTTGTGGTGTTTTATTTTGTTGATGTGTAATTTTTTTTTCTTGTTATTTGTTCTGATGTGTTGTTTTCCTATTAATTTTTTTGTTGTTGGGGAAAGGGGGGGGGGGGGGTTGTATAGTGTGACGTCATTTAATTTGATGTTCCTACCTTCATTAGATTCTAAAATATACATGTATATGTAGATTTAAATGTGTTATAATGTTAGAGCGTTCCTCCAAAACCGATTATATTGTACAAGTACTGACACTGGCAGGCCCCTTGTGTGTGATTCCATATTTTTACATATGTACTTATCCTGTACTTAAAAAAAAAAAGTATGCACATTTAGGGTTAAAACAGCCAATCTTCTCCGGACAGGTGGACACACGCCCTTATTTGTTAATTTTTGTGGTTGTTTATGGGTTGTTCTAGTAAATTGATTTCATTCTGTTGGGAAACTTTTCTTTTTCATGTTTTTACACTCATCTAAAAATCTCTAGTCTAGCTCTTGAAAATTGAAATAGATCTAGACCCAAAAATTTGCTCCTTCCCAGACCTCGCAGAATTGCAGATGGCAGTATGAGAAAGTTGGCAGCGAACTCTTGCAAAAAGGCAAAAAATCACGAAACCGCTCGGAGAAATAAAGATCAGCACTATCTCTATGAACGTTCGGAGAAATAGTCACTTCCGTTATTTTTATTCCATACAAGAAGTTTATCTCTACCCATGTTTTTTTAATGGCATAAATCTTTCGTAGTTGTATCATGCAGGCTGCCACAGACATAGCATGATTCGTGAACAAACGTAGATTTACTTTCTCTTGTTTAATGGTAAAACAATGAAACCTAGTGATGTAGCCAATCGCGCGCTAAGCGGCAAAGCTGACGCCCAATGGTGAGATCTTGTCAACTGGCGAGGGAAGCCCCGGAAGACGACAAAATTAGATGGCGGAAATACATCATCTATATTTATATATTTGGGCCAATCACAGAGATGTGCTAGGTGCTCGCTGTAGCTTCATGACTTTTTTTTCTGCATGCTGTCTGTCTGTCTGCCTGTCTGTCTCTATGTGTCTCTCTCTCTCTTTCTCTCTCTCTCTTTCTCTCTCTCTCTCTCTCTCTCTCTCTCTCTCTCTCTCTCTCTCTCTCTCTCGTGGGTGGTTGGCAGGTGTGGTTTACTTCTTCTTTCTTACCAAACATCTATCTATCGTGTTTATAATAATCTCCCCTCCTTTTTTGTGTTTGTTACTCTCTTACTTGTAATGCCTCTAATCTTTGGCACTTATATGACCTTATTGCAAGTGCCGTAAAACTCTTACTAACACTAAAACTCTATATCTCTCTCTCACTAGTCTCCTGTCATAGGGAAAGAGACAAATGGTCAGAATTTTTCTATTTTTTTATTTTTACATATTTCATAGAGTATTTCATTGCGCATCTGATGGTGTAAAAAAATTTGTCATATATTAATATATATCCTAATCTGTTGTTGCGTAAATGAGAGTTCGTCGTTTTCCCGTACACTGGCGAAATCTGAGCCAGAGCTCAGTGTAAGGGAAAATGACGAATGGTCGATCAGTCAAGGATCACTGCTCGTTCAGCATTGTCCTCTGGTCTCTGCTGTTGGGCTAATTTGGCATGGGCGACAAATGGCAGTTGGTCACTGTTGCGTCAATACAAACATTCTAGGCAAACACGCCACCACCCCCTCCTTAGGAATACAATCAACCAGAATTATAAGAATGTATCACTCAGTGTGTCTTTCTGTCAGTCTTTACGTATGCTGATTGTGTATTGACAAGAGCAGGCGGGAGAGAGGGGAATACGGATGGGAACAGGGGGAAAGGGTGGGGATGGGAGGGTTAAAAAAGTATTTAGCTCTTAGGGAAAAGTTTATTAGCTCTGCCTAATAGTGTCTGCCAGATGTTCACTGACTGACCTCAGATTAGTTTGCTGTCTAGTCATTTTACATTACATCCCAACGATGGTTATAGTGTCGCAGTTCGTCTAGCGCGTGTCACTGGTCGACATCATTATAGAATTTTCAAGCAATTTTAATGACACTGAGTTATGAGAGTAAATTTCTTTGTCCGACTTAAAAACTGAATGTGTTGTGGCGACACTTAGTCTTGCTTTACAATTTCTTTGACTTGATGGATGTTGCGATCGAGTAATGTCTTGCAGATTCAAACTGTCCTTGTCGATCTCTACTTGGTGGTATGTTTTCCCATCGACTGAATCCTTTATTAGATACGACTGACGCTGTACAAAGCGTCGCATTGCCTCTCCCGAAAGTGTTTGCGATAAAATCTTGTCAGATTGCTACAAAGTTTGACTTTGCAATGATCTGATCGTATTATTGACATTGTAACATTATTGATCCCTTTGGTCGTGCAGGGGGAATTTTGCAATTTACATAAATAAAAGTAAAACTCGCTTCTGAAGAGAATGCAATAAAGAAATATCATGGAGACCAAACCTTTATTCCGAACGAGACAGTTTTAAATCAAGCTGTTGTGCTTAGATAACACATATTTCTAATTTGTCCATTGACTCTGTGGTATTTAACCAAGCGAGGAAGGGTAACTTTATACATATAATAGCTAGTTTGTACACATCTTATTTTTGTTTGTAGTTACCTGTACACAGTGATCACTGTCGATAATGTGTCGCAATTGGCCATCGCCCTTTCGGCAGCTGTATTGTGGATAGCATGAGCATGGTCTACTTTTGGCACAGATGAAATGTAAAGGAAACTTCTCTAAATGAGACGAGCGGATCAGATGAGATTCAACAATATAGAGGTCAATAGGATTTAAACATTGGCTCTGAAGGGGTGAAAACTGCACGGACTAAGGTTTATTTTTTCATTATTTTAATTGATTTTTTAATGCTTTGTGTTTCCTCAGACAAATCAGTCAGCAGCATGGGGAAGGTTATATCTAAATTACTTGGCAGCAAAGAGATGAGAATTCTCATGCTTGGGCTGGATGCTGCTGGAAAAACAAGTATCCTTGACTGCATGCAGAGTTGATTACTTTTGAATTTACTAATGTAGATATATTTTAAATGTTTACGATGCATGATTCTATTGTTGACATAGTTTCTGTTTAAAAATAGCTTTATCGTTTGGTAATCGAGAACTTTGTTCATTAACACGGCTCATCAGATTTTCCCCAAACTTCATGTGCAGTATTCCAGAAAGGATAGAAATTGCTTTAATTTCTTTCTTTGCTGTACGACAATTCCTTCATGTTGAGGGTCATCCTGTGCCAGGTCTGCGGTAGACATCAGCGATCATGGTTCTCCATTCATTCCTTTGCTTGGATGCTCTTAAAAAAGCTACGTTTCCATGATTTTTCCCCGTTACCCATTTGTTTTGGTTACCTAAGAAGGTTGCTCTGGGTCTACCCTTGCCTCGTTTGCCTTCAATTTCGCCAGTGAGAGCTAGATGTTCAAGACTTTTATGTCTGTTCAGGTGTCCCAAAACTTTATCGTTTCCTGATTGTTATTAACAGTGAGTGTCCCACATGGGCTTCCCATCAAGCACTACCTCATTTGATTTCTTTTCCATCCACGATATTCTCAGCAGTCTCCTAACAAACCACATTTCTGTTGCTTCTATTTTATTTTCATTGTCTTAAGGTCCTGCATTCACAGCCAACACAGAAGGGTTGACCATACATAGCATTTCAGAACTTTCATTTTGTTAGTCATAGAGATGTTTCTATTTTTCAGGATTGGGCTCATTTTATTGAAACTAGCCTTAGCCATTGCAATTCTCCATTTGCTGTGGAGCATAAAAGATGTATCCTAGATATTTAATCTGTTGGACTTGTTTGATCTTTTCACTTTTGCTAATGGGATTACGAATAGGATAAAAATTTGCTGCTTTTTTGGATATTACCATGCATTGTTTTCTTTACATTCAACAATAATCCTTTACTTTCACTTTCCATTACAACAGTATCTAGAAGCGATTGAAGGTCTTTTTCTGAATCTGCTATTAGAACTGTGTCAATAGCATATCTGATGTTATTAATATTTTCGCCATTCACTTTGAAAACTGGACATTCTTCTAAACTAGTCAACAAAAGTTAAGGAACATTTGGAAAAAAGTGTATATCTTCGAAAGTAAACTTCAACACGAAATGAAATCTGGCACACATTTAAATAAACATGCGTATAACAAATAAGAAAAAAGAAAATTAAGTTATTCCATTTTAACTTGCTTGAAAAGTTCATTGAGTTTGGTAGGGGTTAAAATCCCAAATCACAAAATTGTCAAGTGGTTTCGAAGTTATGTTAACTTCTGACTACAACAAAAACAAAACAGTTCCGATGATTTCAATAATGAGTATGCCCACCACGATTGTTTTGGCACTCAGTACACCGGCTCCTCATCGAGTTCATGAGGTTGGTGAACACTCTCTGAGGCATCGCCTGCCACTCTGCCTGCAGCATCTGAAACAGTTGCTGCGCGTCTCCTGGAGGGGGGTAGTTGTCTCTGACTCGACGTTGCAGCTCATTCCAGAGGTTTTCTATGGGATTCAAGTCTGGACTGCAGGCCGGCCAGTCCATTCGGTTGATGCCAGCCTGCTGCATGAAGTTTTGGACAGGCAACGCTCTATGAGGTCGGGCGTTGTCATCCTGGTACATCGCGTGTGGCCCCATCTGCTGCAGAGTAGGTAGTGCTAATGGGCGGAGTATCTCATCTCTGGTAACGTATTGCAGTGAGATTCCCTTGCACATGGTACAGAGGTGTTCTGTGGTTCAGACTGAATGCACCCCAGACCATCACGGAACCACCACCAAAAGGCACCACTTCTCTGGCGGCTGCATCGAGGAGCCGTTCTCCGGGTCGCCTTCAAACCCTGATACGACCGTCATTGTGATGCAAAGAGAACCGGAACTCGTCGCTAAAGAGAACGTTTGCCCACTGTTGACGTGTCCATCTTACATGGCGCCGGCAAAAGGCAAGACGAGCAGCCTTGTGTGCTGGGGTGAGACGCTGACGGACTGCTGGTCGACGTGCATTAAGTCCGAACTCATGAAGACGTCTTCGTACTGTCTGACAACTAATGTTAACACAAGTTGCCGCTCTCAGCCGTGTCTGAATGCGATTTGCAGGAGCGGATCTCCACTGCAGAGCTTGTCTATTATGAATGAATCGGTCTTCCCTTGCATTAGTGGCTCTAGGTCGACCTGATCTGGGTCGCTCTTGGGCACTATCAGTGGCGTTGACACGCTGAATCAGCCGTGAAATGACAGAAACGGACACTCGAAGACATGTAGCAACTTGTCGGAGTGAAACACCATCTTGTACCCAAGCAATGGCTCGTCCTCTATTTACCTCAGACAATTTCTGTCGAGGAGGCATGTTTACGCTTAGCCCTACAGCAGCAGAAAGGTGTATCCACAGGGCAAATGAGTGTGTGCAACTCACTCACGAGACATGAATCTTGCATGTGAAAACTGATTTTTGAGCGTTCGTCATTTTTCTTGACTGTAAGAGCGAGAGAATAAAAATCGACAATTTGAAAACATTGGGCCTTTTTGCCCCCTCCCCAGCTCAGCGCACAGGAGTCACGTGCATTTCAAACCCTGGTGTGTACAAGCCCATTAGTCAGAGAGTAACATTTCACCAATATCTAGCTTAACTAGTAAAAGTAAAACCTCGAAAGAATGCATGCAAATATATCACTGTTTTTACAGTGCGTTCCTTAACTTTTGTTGACTAGTTTATGTTTCTAAGGATTGTTTCACTGTATATGTTAAGAAGGTCTGGTGACATAACACATCCTTGCCACACTCCTCTTCTAATCTACTTATATTCACTGTATTCTCCATTGATTCGTACAGCAGCATTTTGGTCCCAGTACAAATTCTTGATAATTCTTAGATCTTCTCCATCAATGTCTAGCTTTTCCAGTACTTTAATAGCTCTCATCATGTCTAACTTTATCAAATGCTTGAATAATCTATAAAGCATAAATACAAATCTTTCTGTGCTTCAGTACATCTTTCCATTAACATTGTTAAGGTGAATATAGCAATTCTGGTGCCCTTGTTAGGAACAAAGCCGAATTGCGGTTTAGATATCTCTGGTCTTAGACTTTTTCTCCTTCTTCCCATCAGCACTCGCAGAAATTTTTTTTGTAAAACGACTCATAAGGCTAATTGTTCTAAGCATATGATACTTAGTGGCACGTAGTGTTGTAGGTAAAGCTATAAAAACTGACTTCATCGTATCTTCTGGGATCTCTCCTCTGTCATAAATAGAATTTTTAAGAGCTTTGTTGTTATGTCAGTGTCTAGTTCTTCGAGCGTCACAATCACTTCAACTAGAATATTATCTCGCCCTGTAGCTTTTCCTTGTTTCATTTTCCTAATGGCATCTTGCACTTCTGCTTTCACTTTCAGTATTGGTGGTCCATTTATTTCATTTTTTATTACATGTTTTTCTCCTCTATTATCTTTGAAAAATCTTCTATGTATTCTGACCATTTGCTGTTTAAGTTTAAGACATCCCCATTATGCTGAGGGTAAAGATATTATATTTGATTGACCAGCATATTTTTGGATTCTGATGATTTCAGAGGGGATTAGTACTCTTCGAATAGGAAAAGAAAAAGAGGAAGCTAACGGGTCACGGGATGACCCCGAAAAGAGACATATTACTTTACTATGTTTTTTACTCTTTCTATTTATTGTCTTTATTGTTTTATTTTATTACATTTATTAACTTCTCTTTTCTCCTCTCTCCATCGACAACCTTTCTTTGACCTCTAGTTAGGACGGGTATTGGTGGGGTGGAAAGAAGAGGTTCATTGTTAGCACTGTACTGGATGTGACTTTACGTAGAGAATACCCAGCTACATACATGTATTAAGCATGCACTTATCGGAGAGCCCTATGACTGCAGAGAAGGTGCAGAGACCATTTGCGTCTTGCTTGTTGACAACATTTACCCTCTGGGATCTGCCATGCCTTCCTCTGCCCCCATCTCTCGGATGAGAGGACTTGGTTGCTCGGGTAGGAGGGGGGGAAATCTAGCTTCCAATTGGTATTATTATTACTATTAGTATTATTATTATTATATTATAATTTTTGTATTTCAGCAACACTCAGCAACTATGCTCTTAATAGCGTCTTTCTCTTCTTTATCTCCTCAAACAACTTCTCAATATAATACAACAGACACCAACATACCCATTCATTTTTCTTACAATCTCTCTGTGATGAAGTTGGGTTTTTGTTTGTGGCATTGCACCTACAGCCACTGCTTTATCTCCTACCCCGGGTTGAAGGAAAATCACAGAACCACCAGTTTTAGATGCTATTCACAAATGATAAAATCCCATACGAGCTGAGACGCCGCCTCGGTAATCAAAGTCTCCCCCAGGTCTTAGTGGGCAACCAAGCTGGCCTGGTGGATGGTTATTGGAAGAAAAAGAAAATCAGAAAGCAGAGAAAATGGAAAAACAAGAAGAAAACACCCCCTACAACTGGTAACGGAAAAGAGAAGCTTATAGACTTCAATATTCTTCAGGCAAATGTCTGTGGCTTGGACAAGAAGAAAACACAATTGGGGAAAATTTTGTATGAAAGGAAAGTCCACATTGCTCTATTACAGGAAACTCTCCATTCATCCTGTGACATAAACATCACTGGGTATACCCCTTATCCATGTAAATGTGAAGTTTGCCAAGGGATTATAACCTATATCAGAAATGACATCCAGGGTGAAGTAGAGCTCCTTAATTGGCACCCCACAGACGCACATAAAGTCACCCTGTGGTATGGCAACAGCAAGCTCATACTTTATAACATCTATTGTCCCCCAAGTAGCACTCTGAACTTCTTGGAACAGAGCACTATCTTTAAGAAGACGGTCATAGCTGGTGGCCTTAATGGACACTCCCCCCTTTGGGGCTATGCTGACCAAAACAACACAGGTAAGAGGATTGAAGAACTATGTCTGTCCTCTAACCTCATCCTTCTTCAAGATGAGGATTCAACCAAAACACTTCTTCACAGGGGACATGGGACCCTCCACAGACCAGATCTCACCCTGGTCTCTGCTGATTTACACAACAATTGCAGTGAAGAGGTGCTAGACTGTATATATCTAGTGACCATCGTCCCGTTCTCACCAAAATCAGTATACTGAAACACAGACAAAGGAAAAGAAGAACCCTTTGGAACTTCAAGAAGGCAAACTGGGATCTCTTCAGAAAAACAGCTGAGGACACCGTTAAACTGGATGATCTAGACAATAAAAGTATAGACGCCCTTAATAGTGAACTCACCTCCACCATCTTAGATGCTGCAAAGAAGAGTATCCCACAGGGGTGCAGAACCAACTATAAACCCTTTTGGAACGAGCGCTTGGAGAAAGCTACAAAAACTAAAAATGATGCCAGACATGAATATGAGAAAGATCTAAAAAATATGGACAAGAAAATTAGATATAAAAAGGCCGTAGCAGAGGCTAAACTTGTCACCAGAGAATCTAAGAAGGAAGCCTGGATGCAGAAGTGTGAGGGACTCAATTAACATCAAGGTGGACGTGAAGCTTGGACACTTCTAAATAACCTCACTGGCAAAAAAAGGAAAGAAAACCCCAAACCACTACACACAGAAACCGAAGTTCTCACCAGCGAGTTCAAAAAAGCCGAACACTTCAATAAACATTTTGCCTCCATTAACAAGAGCAGCAAAAGGAATGACCTGGCTGGACAGGGGCCAACAGAGTGTTCTGAAAGGAAAAGAGAGAGATTTGATGACACCGAGTATCTTCCAGGACTTCTTAACTAAGCGAGAGTTGGACTGTGCAATCCAGAAACTAAAGAAGCGAAAAAGCCCAGGTCCTGATAAAGTACACAATGAGATGCTACAAAACCTTGGTGAAAAAGCCAAATTGCTACTTCTTAAGCTCTACAGCAGAACATGGACCGAGGGAAATCTGCCTAAAGCATGGAAACTAGCTACTATAAACCCACTCTTAAAGAGAGGAAAGAAGGCCAAGGACCCTAAAAACTACCGCCCAATATCACTTACGTCCTGTATTGGCAAGCTATGTGAAAGAATCCTCAATTCTCGTCTTTATTGGTGGCTTGAGTCTTCAGGTCTGATATCACAGTGTCAAGCAGGGTTCAGGTCAAAAGGCAGGACAGAAGACCAGCTCTTCAGGCTCACACAGAAAATCATTGATGGATTTCAAAGAGGGGAACAGACAACGGCTGTGTTTGTGGATCTCCAACAAGCCTACGATAGAGTGTGGAGGAAAGGACTACTCTTAAAACTGCAGAACATGGGAATCAAGGGAAACATGTACTCCTGGATTAAATCATTCCTTACAGATAGACTTATCCAGACCCAGATGGATGAAACCCTATCTTCAAAAGCAGTACTGGAGGAAGGACTCCCACAGGGATCTTCTATCAGCTGTGCCTTATTCCTTGTCTTCCTCAATGATGTTTCAGATGTTCTCAAAACAGAAAAAGCCCTTTTTGCTGATGACCTGGTCCTTTGGCACACTGGAAACTCGACAACAATAAGCAGACGAAGACTACAAGATGATCTAAATTCCCTAGGAACCTATTGCCGTTTATGGAAGATGAAAGTAAATTGCGAAAAAACTGTCTACTCTGTTTTTACGAGAAGCTATAACCTTGCAAATGCAGAAATCCCTCTCAAAATAGATGGTAACAACTTGAAAAAGGAGAATAACCCAGTGTATCTTGGAGTACAACTTGACAGCAAGCTCAACCTGAAACAACACACCAACAACCTTAGGAAGAAGGCTATGAAGAGACTTAATCTTACAAACGACTTGCCAGTACCAACTGGGGATCAGACAAGAACACCTTGAGAGGCCTCTATTTGGGATATACCAGAGCTGTTTTTGATTATAATATAATCTTGTTCTACAAAACATTTGCAGTAAAACTTCAAAGAACTCAATGGACACCATCCAAAACCAAGCTCTTCGTCTTATCTCTGGCGGAATGAGATCCTCACCGACTGCGGCCTGTGAAATCCACACAAATATTGAGCCATTAGAAACTCGAAGAAAACGGGCAGCTTTAGAAATATATGAAAGATCTAAAAGGCTAGAAAATAACCACCCTAATAGAGTCCTTGTTGACAAGTGGAAACCTAATCAAATACTAAAAAATACAAAATCTGTACTTGACACTGTTCTCAATCTCCAAGAAAAACATCACCTCCCTGAAAGACGAGAACCTCTGGAAAGAGTTCCCTCAACTCTCCCACCACATCTCACCATAGCAAAGCCAGAAATTAGGAAAACACTTTTGGACAAGAGCAATAAAAACACATTTCCTGTAGCACTAAAACATTCTGCCCTTGAAACAATTGATTCCTATCCACCAACATGTATCCACTCATACACTGATGGATCTGCCTTTAAGGCAACAATCAAAGCTGGATATGAGTCAGTGATCAACTTGCCCAGTGGGGAAAAAAAAGAAGTCTTTAACTCCAGCGGGTCCTTCTGCTCCAATTTCATTGCCGAACAACAGGCTATCACCAACACAGCAAACTACATCAACTACTTGTTTGACACTAACCCACTTGCTACCACAGACATCGTTATATTTACAGACAGCCTTTCAACACTAGAGACACTTGAGAGTGGGGCTGATGTGAACAAAGATATATTGCATTTGATTTGGAGTCTACATAACTTGATAAGTGGGCACCACGTCAGAGTAGTCCTACAATGGATTCCTGCCCACACTGGGATACCGGGAAATGAAAGAGCTGATGCTCTGGCAAAGAAAGGAGCTAGCCTCCCTCAGCCTGAAATTCCTACGAATTACACCACCTGCTGCCAAATGATCAAGTCATACCTCAAGGAAGAGTGGATGAATGATTGGGCCACAGGTACGACAGGAAGGAGGATGTATGGCCACATGAATAAACCACTGGTCAAAGATCCAATCAATGAGTTGAGGAGGGGAGATCAATCCATAATCTTCCAACTTAGAACACAACATGTACCCCTCAACCAACATCTCAACCGAATTGGAGTAAAGCAGTCTGCTGCCTGCCCACTATGTGACTACCCCTCAGAGACAGTGGAACATCATCTGTTTTTCTGTAGAAAACTAACTGGTTTAAGGGGATGTTTTCTTCCCAAGCTACCCCACACATCTAATTGCCTCTACTCCTCAAGACAACAGTTAGAACAAACATGCAACTATTACCGAATGGCATCATGCAGAAGAGTTAACGCTCAGATGCTACTGGATCGCTAACAACAACAACAACATTATTTCAGATCCTCCTACTTTCCTATCTAACTAAGCAATAGTTTGATAGGCTGTTTTATAGATTGGAAAGAGGTGTTTATCATGTTATGGAAGTTGTTATCCAGTCCTGTTCTCCTTTATTACTATCCATGGGTTGGGCTGTAGCTGTTATATGTCTTGCAGATTGTGATAGGTATTGTGTTACTTCCTATTATTACCTTTGTCATATTAGTGATGTGATTAGGTGGTTCAAACTGATTGTTTGTGGGCACCGTGGTGTAATCTATTCCTTCTGCTTCTTTTTCAGTGTCCTAGTACTTTTGTCATAATCTGTTCTTGGCGAAATGTAGCCTTTTGATGTAATAAGATAATCAACAGCTATTTTGGTATTCCTGAAGGGAGGTTTGCAGGGCACTTGAGCTCGCTTTTTTCTTACAAGTAATTTGTGTTTCTTTTGTCAGAGTTTGTTTCTGAGAAGAAAGAAGCCGTTGCTTTGTCCACTCTCCTGGAACTGCAAGTGCAGCTTTATATAAGTTCTTCTCCCAAGCATTAGTTTCCACCTCAGAAATGTGACTTTCCTTAATGCCTTTCAGCTTTATTATACAAATTGAAACTAGGCCAGTCAGTGACAACAATACCTACAGTTGGCTTCAATGTGGAAACAGTGACGTACAAAAGTGTCAAGTTCAATGTTTGGGTATGTATATATATATATATGGTTTACACGGTTGTTAGTCTTGTACTTGTTGTTCATACAGTCAAGTACACACAATGGATATTGCATGTCACAAATAGAAAAGAGCTGCATCATAACCTGTATTTTACTGAATGTGAAAGATGAATTAAAGCTCACACACTCATTCCTTTAGGTAATTTTGGGATGGTTCCTTTCTGGCTACTGCTCTATTTTTGTTTTAAATTTCAAACAAAGCGACGCCTTCTATTTTTGTAGTCTTTGATAAAAGCTATAATTCAGTCATGACGGTAAAAAGAATCTAAGGGTAGTGGAAGAGGGGAACATTTTTGTTTTGTTTTATGTGAGCACTTTCTGGCCTCTAGGCTGGGCTCCCAGCTTATAAATCTAGTAGACGTCAAGAGTTTGATTACCATGCCATACATGTGGGATTTTTCGTATTGATCCACCATTTGAAAAAAAGTAACAGTATTCCTCCCCCGACTGAATGGGTGATATTTTGTTGGTGTGCTTGTCATTACTCAAACTGAATATCTTTTCGTTTTGTGGATGGTTGGTAGGTTCTCTGGTGTGGTTTGCTCTTTCTTTCCTATCAAACATCTATCGTCCTTATCTCTCCTCATTTTTTTGTGCTTGTTACTCTCTTGTAACACCTCAAGTCTTCGGCACTTATGTGACCTTATTGTGTTGCTAGTGCCGTAAAAAGCTTACTAAAACAAAAGATAAAACAAACAAAAACCCTGAATATCTTTTTGTTTTTGTGTGTGTGCAGGATGTCGGTGGTCAGGACAAGATCCGTCCACTGTGGAGGCATTACTTCACAGGCACTCAAGGACTGATATTTGTGGTAGACTGCGCTGACAGGGATCGTATCGATGAGGCCCGGCAGGAGCTGCATCGAATCATCAACGACAGGGAGATGCGCGACGCCATTATACTGGTTTTCGCCAATAAGCAAGACCTTCCAGATGGTAATCCCACCCACCTCCCTCCCGCCATTGTCTTATTTTCTGTTCTGTTTTTCAATATTGCAACAAGTGTTACATTGATATTATTGCAAGTGTATTTTAGTGAATGGGTGAAGGGCACCCCTGGTAGGTATTACTATTTTTTTGGTCTATGTTACTATGTTGTTTGTGTCCTTGTTTCTTGCTTTTTACCAGCACTAAATAACTTTTATTGTGTTGACAGGCTCCTATTTTCTTAATCTCAACTCTTAAGTGTGTGTGTTCTGTTCCTGCAGATGGTTGTTGGGTGCTCTGGGGTGGTTCGCCCTTTTTTTCCTCTCAAACATCTATTGTCTTGATCTCTCCTCCTTTTCTTGTGTATGTTACTCTCTTGTAACACCTCTAATCTTCAGCACTTATACGACCTTTTTGTGTTGCAAGTGCGGTAAAACTTACTAAAAAGTTCTGTTTCTGACACTAAATGATGGTATTTAATGTAAAGGTAAATTTTTTTTAAATTGTAGGTGTTTATATGCCCCCTTTGACAGTTTTGATAGTTTAGGATGTGGGCTTCGATCATCATTGTCAGGGCCTACCTGGGCTTAGAGGGATACAGCATCTCGGCAGAAAGACAGGAGTACTCGATAAAAATTCTCTGTGCTTAGGATTCGAACTCTGATCTCCTGCTTGCATCAGCAAAGCACCTAACCGCAACACCACAGACACCCGGGTAAAGGACAAACATGTTATTTATTTTATTGTGCTGGTCACTTTCCAACATCTTTTTTTTTTGCTGTTGATGGTGTTTTTGGCATTTACATTCCTTTCTATTGTTTTGCAGCCATGAAACCTGCTGAAGTGCAAGAAAAACTTGGATTGACACGGATTCGCGATAGGAATTGGTACGTCCAGCCATCCTGTGCAACATCAGGTGATGGTCTCCTGGAAGGTCTAACGTGGCTTACTTCCAATCACAAGTCATGAAGCTGGCATTGATAGACTTTTCATAGATATTTATAATGATATAAATTATACATATTGTATGAATGAACTGTTTGTCTTACCCATATGTACAGTTTCACCAACTTTGATAAATGCAAACCTTTTGTTACATTGCGCAAGTGCTGAATTTGGAACCATTTTTTAATGATTTGTCCGGAAGAAGATAATGTGTCCATGAACGAATTTTCTTTGTTTCCGGGTGTCTGAACTGGTTCTTTTGATCTGATGATAATCTCTATCTGTTGAAAATTAACTGTATGATCTTCTTAGCACGTTGTTGGGAATTTAGCTAAGGCCTTTTATATGTGGTGTACGCATAATGGGGTTTGGGTAGGGCAGTTCATTGGTTGTTTCCGTGTGTTTGGGGGGGGGGGGGGTCTTGTTTTGGGTTGGGTTGGGTTTTTTTAGGGGTATGGCACACATTTGTGATTTTTTTTAGGGTTTTAGTTGTTGTTTTTTTTTTTTGTTTTTTCTTTCTTGCAACCCTACTGAAAAATGAGATTCAATTTCTCTCAGGGATTTCAGTTTACAGGAAGCACTTACTTTGTGTTTGCAGTGGTGATCCCTGATGATAGATTATGTAAAACTCTGGTAGTAAGTTTCATTTGTACTCTCTGTGCGTAAATCATGTTGGAGCAAGAAAGAAGACAGAAGAGAACACTAGCTTGAAGGTTGGTGTGGGAGGGGGGGGGGAGTGTTCATATGTTATGGGGGTCAGCCTGAACCATACGAATTAAATATATGTATGAGCTCTCAGGAGACTTGTCATAGTCCCACCGTTTTCTGTGTTTTTTCTGTGAAGCAAGTCTCTTTCATCTTTTTTGCTGCCTATATCAAATACATAAATGTTTGTGAACTGGTCATAGAAAGAAAGCAGGAAACATGTTAAATCAAGGTCAAGAATATTTCCATTTGATTTTTAATGGAATTCATCATTACCTGAAAAGTTCAGAGGTAAAGATAGAATGTTGAAAGCTTAGTGTGTAAGAATGCAACTACCTTTTCTGGGTAAATGGAGAAATAAAGCAGACAGAACGTAGAGAAAAGACCCTTTGGGTAAGAAAACACTTTTTTACTCACTTGCTTCATGTAATATATGCAACTGTTTGGAATGAGACTGTTCAATAAGAAAAACAAGTTTAGAGCACAATTAGTAACGAGAAAAAAAAATACAAGCGTTGTGCTTGATATTTGATATAACCGTGCTCCTTGGGTAGCTGAGAATGTCTGTGGGTGTTAAAGGGTCTGCTGGGGTACTGATAGTTGTTAAGTGCACAGAGAGCATGCTGTTGAGCATGGATATATATAGGCTATTTATATACAATGATTATTGTTATTATTATGATATGAAAGTCAGAATTTCTGTTTGTGGAGGGGTTGCATGGGGGTGAGACTGATTTCAAGTATATGGTCACGTGGTGTCTTGATATTTTGGGAGTTCCGCATTTCCAGGGGAGTGCCTGCCGGAAACTGGAAAATCTCAGATGTTAATTTTGTTTTACTTTCTTTTTTGTTTCACAAATATATGTGGTAATTTATGTCCAGCTTTGTGGATGCAGTCCAAAAAATTCCAGAAATATCGTTTTTGTAGGAAGCACCCCTACATTATATAAATGCTGCTAAACTGACCGTGCATTCTAGAGTCACCTTTTTTCTCCACGACAGGGCTTCACCATACTGTATATTTTTGTCGAATGACATGCCCTGGAGATTGTGTTTCCTTCTTTTGTCTCAGTGGCTGGCTGGGTGTGTATACATCAGCTCTTCCTTCTTTCACTGATGTTTGGCAGACATTCCTTTATCTTGGGGTTTTTTATTTTATTTTTATTTGATTTTGAATTCTTTCATTTTTTAATTTTTTAAAACATTTTGTTGTTTTTTTGTTGTTTTTCCCTCTCCCCTCTTTACTAACATTATGAACAATTTCCGTGTTACCCCTTGCTGAATTTTTGCTGTATTTAATTTCTGTTTTCAACTGTCATAAGGCTTTGAGTCTTATGATAAGCTCATGAACTTTTTTGGTATACATATTTTGGTCATGTAAATTGCAGCAAATGTCTCTCAACCTCGCTCTTCCATTACAAGGATACGTTGTTTTCTCCATTTTCCTGTTTTTAAAAAATATTTGTTAGTTTAGTTTCAATAGCATGCATGCATGATATAGACAGACACATTTAATGTAATGCACTAAATAACTGTGGGCTTAATGGGTGTTCTATTAATGTATTCTCTAGCTAATTGTAGTCCATTTTTGTTTCATTTTAGAGCTTCATAGTAAATATTTATTCCTGGATAAAAATGTTTCATTAATACACAACTAAATTAGATTGAGTTCACCCTAGGGTATTCAGAATGTATCAATTTCATTACAAATTTTACCCATCTGTGCAAAGTAGCTATGGGTTTCAAATGTTTTGTGCCGCTCGTAAGTTCTAAGTTTGTTCCGACATTTCTTTCATAGTCTGATAAGAGATAGAAGCCTTGTTGCTAACTTTCTTGCCAGGTTTTATTTTGTAACCTTCACTGTTTAGACTGTCAAGATCAAATTCTAATATGAAACCAAAATCAATTTATGATTCAGAGATGGACACGCGTTTATACCAACATTATTTCCAATTTCAATTTCTTTGTTCTTAGTTGCTCAGAAGGAGAAAAAAAAAAGTGAGTTGATTCTGTGATTTTTAAATTTTTTTTATATTTCACTTGGCAAGTACACAATGTTGCTTGGTGAACACTCAGGATCATTTTTCTCAAAGTTGCAGTTGTCCTTGCCCAATCTTGAGGGGGGAACTCTTGAATGAACTGTTAAATGTCTTGTGATGTTTATCTATGCTCCTCTATGTCTAAAGCAAATAATGTCGTAATGAGTATCTGGAAATCAGCTGAGAGCACAAATTTCAGTGTTGGTACTTTAAGCAGTGTATGGATTTCCTGAAACAGTGAGTGTGTATGGATGCATGCGTTGGTATCTTTGGGCATGCGGTGCAAATGTGTGTAATTGTGTATCTGTGTGTGTGTATGAGTATTATTATGACCAGGATGAAAGGATGGACCCAGTCAGTAGCTCTGTACAGGTTCCTTTCAGATTTTGCTTGTTAGGCTTTTCACTTATATTTATAGTCCCTGCTTACTGCAGTTACTGTAAAATAGTCTTTTCACAGGAATGTACTTTTTGCACTTTAACTTTTAGATTAACTGATGAAAGTTATGTCCAGCTTCTAAGGAATCAGTCATTCTGTTTAAGGGTGATGACGAGTAAAGGGTAGACCTGTGGACGTTTGAAAAAAATCATGGTCCTATACATTGTTTGTTTACGCTTGCAGAAATTACGAGTTTTTATTGTAGGTTTTGGGGGATACACCTTTAAACCGTCTGTTTTCGAAGTCCTAACTCATGGCCTCAAATTTATAGTTGGCGTATAGTAATTCAAGACTAAAGCCATGCTCTTTTTGATGAATGTTGGTTTTCTCAAAGATACTTCTTGACTATTTGCAAAAATTACATCTTTGTGAAAAAGAAGCATTTTACAGTGAGTTATTTTTGCTTTGATATTGATCAGATGAGACAAAGACTGTGCCTGCTTTGGTCTTATCACCATCGTGTTTTGCCTGGGATTTTTGCCTTTATTGTGGGCTTTTTGAGTGTCAAGTGTGTGAAGGATGATTTGTACTGATAAAATTCTTAAGCCTTGCATCTCCATTTGTTGTGAGTGTGTTATAGGGGTGAAGGGTTGCTCATGATTCTGTGCATGCTAATGTGCGTGTATGTTGAGGGGGTGCATTTTTGCCTTTGTGTGTATATGTGTACAAGTTTACGTGTTCATGTTTATATATTATGTGCTCCAAAATAGTGTTCTGGGGATGCAACGCCATCAGAGTCTAAACCGTTCCACTTTCCTGCTGTGACATCTTCTTTAAGAATCGAAATCCCATGGAGAGAGTGTAGTTCCTGTGGAGAGTTTGTAGTTGCTATGGGTAGTTGGTGGGCGCTCCAGTGTGGTCTGCTCCTTCTGCTGCCTTCCAGTACTTATATTGTCTGTTCCTGAGGAAATGTGGCAGTGAATATAATAATGGCAATCACTCATGGTCCTCAGCAAATGTCGACACGGAGTGGTCGTCTGGATTGACTTATAGTTTGGTTTGGACTCGCATTGTTTTGGCTTCTCGTTTTGTGTGTTGCTTGATTTTCCGTGTCAGTCTCCTGGGCCACTCTGGAAGGCCAGTAGTTGTGCAGGGAAAAACACAAGGGTTGAGAACTGCACTTCTCTTGCACTTTGTCTTCTACTCCTCTACTTTTCATGCTTCTTTATCTTCTCTTGTTCTTACTCCTCTTCATGCATTCTTCTCTTCTTCCTCCCTGTTGTTCGGCTTCTTTGTCATTTCATCCTCCTGGTGCCTTTCTTTCTTCTCCTGGCACATTAGCTTGTTCATGCTTGGTACAACAATGCTGATCCCTTGTCGAGCCTTGAGGGGGGGGGGGGGAGGGCAGCATATTGAGCCCTGGTGTTTTCCTGTTGAGATTGTTCACGTTTACCTATGAGACTGTATAATGCTCCATTGTTTCTTTGTTTCCATTTCATTCATTGCTCTCTGTTGAACTATTATTGCTTGTCTAGAAGTAGGTTGTGTTGGGTTTTTTTTCTTTACAAATTTTTATTTTTTTTCCCATTGTGATTTTTTTTTACTGGAGGGGTGGGTTGGGTTTGTGTGTATCCTTCTTGAAAATAAAAAAAATCTTATCGTTTCCTCTCTTCCTCATTGCATAGACTTGAGCCAGCGGATGCATAGATCCCCACCTCCCCTCTCCCTCCAACAGTTTCACTGCTTTCCTTGCATGTGTACATAATGTTGACCTGTTCCAAGTGTGTAAAGGTGTTTGAGCACAAAGTGAAGATGGGTCGGTCCTCCATCATTCATAGCAAGAAGTGAAATAGAAAGTAAGCCACAGAGTGTGTCCAGAGAGAGCCTGATGGTCGACCTTGAATTGCTTTATTACACACTACTTTTATATGTTCCCTGTTTGACAATAATTGAGTTGATAAGCTCAAAGGTTTTAGAACTGTTTGTTGTGTTTGGTTTCAAAAGGTTGTCTCTTTCAGGAAGAGAGTTGTAGGGATGCTTGCCATTTGTTGTAGTTGTAAGTTGTAGTTGGCCTGAGAGTTTTTAATCAATTTATTTTTGTCAGTACTTGGATGTGGATGGTGTTATGCTCTAATCATGTAAAAGGTTTCTTGAAAATTTTTCAATGCACAAAAATCTCCCTTCTAATATTTAAACGGTGAAAGAAAACTCAAAAGTGTGCCCCCAGTACATATTTATGTAATTTCTAGTCCATTCTGACTCGTGATTTTTATTGAGGACCCACAGATCGACTTCAGCACTGCTTTTAGAGCTAAAGAATAGTTGACCTGTTTCTTGCAGTTGCACGGTTAGAGCATAGCTCCATCAGTATATATGTGTAGGTGAGGTAGAGCCATTCTTGGTCGGTCAGGTGTTCTCTCTCTCTCTGTGGACGCAGTGTGCTGAGACTGCTGCTATGTTTCCCTCCCTCATGTTCATAAAAAATGTTATGTTTTGTATGAGGGTCTGTTCTCCTCTAGTGTGTATATATTCTTATTATTATACTAGTACTTGCTATGTATACTACCCATTGATCAAAAGCAAAGGTACCTGGAGCTGAAGATGTAGACCTAGAAGTTAGAAACAAACGCGCGCCCCCGCCCCCCTCATGTTTGTTTGCTTTTTACATACACACAGGAGGAATAAAGACTCTCTTGTACTGAGACTCCTAGACAGCCATGTTTTTTTTTGTTTCTTTCTTTACGTTGGTTTTATCTTGGGGGGAAGGGGGGGGGGGTGTTTGCCTTGTCTTGGCTTATGGTGTTTGGCTTTGTTTTATGTTCAGCCTTTGCTTCTGCTGCACCTTGGCAGAGTCATTATTCTTATTTTTACATCTCTTGGTTTCTTTGGCTTGTCAAGTAGGCCTATATTGTAAAGAATTCCCTTAGTTGTAGGTATGGATGTCTCTGGTGAGAATTACAAACCATGAAAGTCGCCTGATTTCTAGTTCTTCAGTTATATATGTTAATTTACCTGATTTTAAGCCTGATTTGACTAACAAGACGAACGTCAACTATGTTTCTCTTTTTAAGCTTGTCTCTAGATTATTTTTTAATTTCGTTTTTTTTTTTTGGGGGGGGGGATAGAGATTCGTTTAACGTTGTATTTGTAATTTGTAGGTAGTTGTTAAGGGGAAAACAGTACCATAGTTAAATTTTCATCTCCTCTGATAAAATTAACCTACTGCGAATTCAGTCGTGTGACTTTTAACACTACTGGGTACTGACACGATGAATGCGTCTCTCCTCACTGATCGTAGTTGTTTATTTCTCATGTATTTCCACCAACCCTTGAGACGTGTCCGCCATGCTACCTCAACATGGAAGGAGTGGGCCTGCGGAAAGTTGACTGAGTCCATGCCATTTGCCTGATTTTACCTGAGACAAAAATCATAAAATTGAGAAAGTTCTTTACAAAGATAGAGTCTGCATATGATTATTTACTGAGGTTTAAAACTTGTTTAAAGTTGGCTCAGTTAGGGAGTTAGGGGAAATGTTTTGGTGGTTGGCAGGTGCTGTAGTATGCTTTGCTCCTTCTTTCCTATCAACCTCAAACCTGAACATCTATTGTCCTTTTCTCTCCAGTCCTTCTTTTTTAGTGTTTGTTACTCTCTTGTAACACCTCTAATCCTCGGCACTTATATGACCTTATTGTGTTGCAAGGGCTGTAAAACTCTTTACAACTCTTTACCACAGCTATAGCTAGGGGCAATGTGCAGGATAGTCTTGTATTTTACAGAAATTTCAGAAAGTGCAACAAAAACTGGACTGTTGTGAGGGCCTTGTCAGTCTGGCAGCCCGTCTGACCGAGCTGAAGTTAAATACACATGTACAGATGTGACTAATTTCCGGATAGATTCCTGAAACATTTGAAATCAAACCATGCCTGGTACTGGTAGTTCTTTGGTGCAGATTATTTTATCTTTTGAACAAGGCCATGTTGTTGCCTCAGTGAGAGAGCGGGTGGTTGGTTGTGGCGCTGCTACTACTGGGTATTCCAATGTAAAGCGCCCTGAGCTACTTCTTTGGAAATGCGCTATATTAATGTTATATATTATTATATATTATTATTACATGTATTATTACTGGTAGGTCCTTCTTCTTTACTTTCCGTCTGTTCTTTCTTTCTCACTGCCTGTCTTATTGTTCCCCAGCACTACACCGATCATTGTTGTGTCGATGTAGGCCTACTTTTCTTTACTCAAACTCAAACAAACAAGCATCGGTCGGACTGTGACGATTCCCCTGACAGTTGCTAAGTGTAGTGGGTCCGTGTCATGTGTCCTTGACGCCCAGATGCACCGGCTGGTCTCTCTACTCTCTTCATGTACATATTATATGTGAGGCTTCGTGGTGAAATCAGGGATCGTCAAAATAATGAAACACAGGAAACTGGCATTTTTCTGTCCGTTTGGCAATTTTTTTCTTCTTTTTTTGGCCCAAACACATTTCTGTGTGGATTTTAATGAAAAAATGTTGATTTAATGTAAAATTTCGGATTCTAAGGACTTTCCTAAGCCCAGGAAGTGTTTGAAGCCAGACGACCCCCCCCCCCCAAACCTCCTCCTATCGCAAATATCGCAACTTCTATTCATGATAAGTGAGTATTTTTTTCCACCGAAAGTAAGACAAGTGAACAAGCTTTAAAACGATACCATTAACTCCACATGCATGTCCAAAAATTGACAAGCGCCTGATTCCACCGCATGTGACACATATATTAATTACCCGGGCATGAATTCACACCTTAAACAGACGCAACTTAATGACAGACTCGACATAAAATCATAAACATGTTTTGACGCTCTGGTAATATTTCCGAGTCTAATCGTGTGTTAGCGACAGCTTACGTTGTGGTTAATCTTACAGCTTACAATCAATTCACGAAACATCCAGTGAGGAGGGGAGATGTTACTACAGTGTACTAGGTATGAATGTCACTGTGGGAATTTTAAATTTTAGAACATTCTCGATATTTATTCAGTTAAATAGCTTTCCATTGTTCCAAGGTTTGGATTGAGAACTGTGTTATGGTGAAATCGCACTCGGATTGAGTACAGCATCGTGAATATGAATAATCCTGTCGTATCTTCTGTCTAATGATGCTAATAGTACCCGGTAGTAATATATAGTTCGTCCGTCAGTAGGAGACGATGACTAATACACCTGCAAGAAGGAATATGTCGTAAATAGAAATAGAATATAATTTATCTAAGGATTAAGATGATTTGTGGCTTCTGCTTTGGCCAGCGAGACCAATTCTTGCAGCGAAGTGTTTGCCACATTTTCAGCGTTTAAAAGTAAAAGCCTCCTTCTCATTTTTGTGGATGTGCACAACTTGCGGGCTTCTCTCCTGGTTTCAGCATTTCTAATTCAAGAAGCCTCATAATATTATGATTTGCACTTTAAAAGATCAAAATTGTGTCGATCTATTGAGGCGCAATACGTTTATCTACTATCATACATGTACTATCAACAATAGTTTATGCATGGTACCTTATTGTTTCTATTCTGTGCAGTGTGGATCGGATGGTTGTCCTGCTCTTTATTGCTTCATTTCAAGGATACATCACGTATACAGTCAACTTTGTCCACAATGGCTATCCATTGTCGAGGAGAAAAGTAGGCTACATTGCTGTTGTCCTAGACAAGTGGATGTTTTGGACAGTGTCATTATAAATTTTTAAAACGCAAAGGGTGTGTGGTGGGGGTGGAGTAGGAAGTTCATGTAGTTGTTTGTACCAGGCGATTGTCCAGGACAGGTGGCCGTTAGTCGTTAGAGTACAGGTTCGAACGTACACTTCTTCTGTCCTAATCTGCTCCTGCTATTCTCAATGAAACGGTTATCTTGTCGACGTCCTGTAGCCGACAGGAGTAGAGAGCAACAGCCCGTGGGATTGGAGTCTATCTAGATTTTTGTCCCCCCCTCCCCCTCCCCTTGAATCTCTTTGTATCCTTTCTTTCTCTTACTTCTTCTTTTTCACTAACATGGCATAAAGTGACAGCTGGTCTGTGAATGTGCTGCTCATTAACGTATGTTAAAACGGATCTTCGTAACGCGCACATACAGAACAAAAATCGCTGCAAGATGTGACATCTGTACATGAATGAATTAAAGTTTTTCATCTGAAAACTTCGGATAGTAAACCCGATATGTCACCTCGTGGTTGGTTGGAGGGTGTGACTGGTAGATCCTACGGTACGTCTTTGCCTTTCCTTTGATGAGAAATTCTATATGTCGTATTTAAAACTTACGAAAACTAAAACAAAAAACGACACCATATTTATCATGTAGAGCAAAAGACTCAGTTTACTACTGCTATGCTATACAGAAAAAGCACTGAGGAACGCATCGTGGTGACTTTTGGCACATTGGCCCGGTTCTATCTACGACACTCTATTCATATATCTCTTTGTTAAAATACGGTCCATATGGTAATCAGTTGGTACTCTTTTGCGGCCTGCCCCCTCTACTTCGTGGGTGGTTGGTGGATGCTCTTGTATGGTTTACTCCTTCTAACCTAACACTATCAAATATCTATCGTCAATGTCTCTCCTTCTTTTCTTTGCAACCTGCTATGTTACTCTCTAGTAACTAATTTTCGACCATTTGATGGCATAATTGTGTTGCATGTGTTGTAAAACTTTACTAAACGAAACTAAAAACTCGCATGTTTGTGGTGAAATATTGCAGCTCTCGCTGTTGACTAAAATTCACCACTCAAAAACAACATGATAGACTTATGTTTTATTGGATCGTGCAAATGGCAAAGTGTTAGTTACCAACCAGTTCTTGATGTATCGATCCAGGAATTCATCAATTGCTCAAGGTCGTGACAGTTATGATAGTTCGCAGGGTACCAGTCTACCGTGAAAATAATGTAATGTCTTCAGCAAGTCCTGTGTGATTGACCGTGGTCTCTTGTTCTGTGATGTTTGGACAAAAAGTGGCGGTAAGGACCTCTGCCCCCGAACAGTACACCCTAACCATAACCCTCCCCTTCCCCTTCTTTGATTTTGGGCTGCAAGAGGAATGAGGTCATATATAATTATTAGCTATTCATTTCATTTCTGTTTTAATGTCTTATCTCCCTTTTTGCTTTTGATGAGAGAAATGAATTATTATTGCCCTTTGCTGTTTCATATTTTGGCGAGATGCTTTTTTTTTATGCGCTTCCTTTTTCCATACTTAATACTTATAATGTGTATTGTTTTTGCAAAAGATGCGCTCTACTGATACTTGTGCGAGTGTTTGCCCATATTTTTTATCGAGTTGTTTGTGAAGTCTGATATGAGAGAG